GAACACCATAATAAAACTCACGAATATAAATAACAACAAAACAAAATTAAAGGCCAGATAAACAATGGTCAGAGAGAATATAAGCAACATCCAACCCAACAGAAGAACAGTAATCTACTACCCTACAGTTTTCTTCAATAAATGTGAAGGTTTAATCTCCATCAGAGACAAAGGCTGCTTAATGGATAAGAAAATACAGGCCAAGTATATCTATCTTCAGGAAACATCTAACCTGCAAGGATGCAATAGACAAAGTAAAAGAGTGAGATCAATTAGCAGGAGCCAAAAAAAGTGGTGTGGCAGTTAATTTCAGAGATTTAGTTTTAAACCAACAAGAAGTAGTGAAAACAAAGAGTATTAATAATGGTCAAGGCAGCACTTCACAAGAAGATAACAATTTAAATATATATCACCCAATTTAGGTGCACCAGATTCATAAAACAAACCTTACTGAGCTAAGCAAATAGATTAATAGCAATCCATAATACACCAGAGATTCAAACACCCAATGATGGCACAAGACAGATACTCCAAAAAGAAATTAATAAAGAAATAATGACTTAAAAAACTCTAACAATTGGGTCTGATGACATTTACAGGACATTCTACCCCAAATCCACTGAATATACGTTCTTCTCATCAGCTCACGGGCAATCTCTAAGATTGACCATATCCTGAGCACAAAGTAACTCAAGGAAATTTAAAATTAGAATCATTTTACCATGTATCTTCTGATTCACAGTTAATTAAGTAGGAAATCAACCGTAACAGAAACTCACATTTCTACACAAAAACGTGGAAACTAAACAACCTCCTACTAAATGACTACTTCATAAATGAAGAAATCAAGATAGAAATAAAATAAATTCTATGAAGAAAATGACAATGGAGAGACAAGTTATCAAATCTTCTGGGACACAGCTAAAGCAATTCTGAGAGGAAAGTTTATCTTCATAAATGCCTATAACCAAAGTCAAACAGATCACAAAGAGACAACCTAATGAAACGACTCAAAGAGCTGGAAAAAGAAGAATAGACTAACCCCTATCCCAGCAGAAAAAGTGAAATCAAGAAGATCAAATCAGAACTACACAAAATTGAAAACAGGGAAGCTATTCAGGAGATTCATAAAACAAAAAGTTGGTTCTTTGAAAAAATAAACAAAATTGACACATCTTTGGCAAGGTTAATGAATAACAGAAAAGAGAAATCTCTAATAAGCTCCATCAGGAACAAAAAAGGAGATATCACAACTGATCGCAAAGAGATACAACATATAATTTATGAATACTACAAAAATCTTTATGCACACAAACTGGAAAATGTGGAGGAAATGGACAAATTTCTAGAAACACACAGCCTCCCTAGGCTCAACCAGGAAGAAATAGATTTCCTGAACAGACCAATCTCAAGGGCTGAAATAGAAACAGCAATTAAAAATCTCCGTATAAGGAAAAGTCCCAGTATAGATGGTTTCACACCCGAATTTTACCACACTTACAAAGAAGAACTAGTACCTATCTTGCAGAAACTATTCCACAACATCAAGAAGAACGGAAACCTCCTCGACACCTTTATGAAGCGAATATTACTCTGATAACAAAACCAGGAAAGGATGCAACAAAAAAAGAAAACTACAGACCAATATCCCTAATGAATATAGATTCAAAATTTTTCAACAAAATCTTAGCTAACTGAATCCAGACGCTTATCAAAAAAATAATCCATCATGACCAAATGGGCTTCATCCCAGGGATGCAGGGATGGTTCAACATATGTAAATCTATAAATGCAATTCACCACATAAACAGAAGCAAAAACAAAGACCACATGATTCTTTCAATGGATGCAGAATATCTTTTGACAAAATTCAACACCCTTTCATGATACGAACACTTAAGAAAATAGACATAGAAGGAACATACCTAAAAATGATACAAGCCATATATGATACACCCATAGCCAACATCATACTGAATGGGGAAAAATTGAAAGCAATCCCACTTAGAACTGGAACCCGACAAGGCTGCCCACTATCTCCACTTCTATTCAACATAGTGCTGGAAGTCCTGGCTACAGCAATCAGACAGGAAAGTGGAATTAAAGGTATCCAAATAGGGGCCGAAAGATCAAACTTACACTCTTTGCTGATGATATGATATTGTATTTAGAAAACCCCAAAAATTCAACCAAGAAACTCCTGGAACTGATAAATGTTAGTAAAGTCTCAGGATACAAAATCAATACACAGAAATCAGAGGCATTCATACACTCCAAGAACAATCAAATTGAGAACCAAATCTAAGACTCAATTCCTTTCACAATAGCAACAAAGAAATTAAAGTACCTAGGAATATACTTAACCAAGGAGGTAAAAGACCTCTACCGGAAGAACTATGAAACACTGAGGAAGGAAATAGCAGAGGATGTAAACACATGGAAAGCCATACCATGCTCATGGGTTGGCAGACTCAACATCATTAAAATGTCTATACTACCCAAACCGATCTACAGATTCAATGCAATACCTATTAAAATCCCATCTGCATTCTTCACAGATATAGAAAAAATCATTTTACGCTTTGTATGGAACCAAAGAAGACCCTGAATATCAAGAGCAATTCTAGGTAACAAAACCAAAATGGGAGGTATTAATATGCCAGATATCAAACTATACTACAAAGCTGTAGTAGTTAAGTCAATCAGGTACTGGCACAAAAATAGGAATATTGACCAGTTGAACAGATCTGAGAATCCTGATATAAAACCATCCTCACATAGCCATCTCATCTTTGACAAAGCAGACAAAAACATACGCTGGGGAAAAGAATCCCTTTTCAATATATCATGCGGGGAAAACTGGATAGTCTCCTGTAGAAGGCTAAAGCAAGACCCACACCTTTTTTCTCTCACAAAAATCAACTCACGCTGGATAACAGACTTAAACCTAAGGTATGAAACTATTAGAATTCTAGAGGAAAATGTTGGAAACACTCTCCTAGACATCGGCCTAGGCAAAGAGTTTATGAAGAAGTCCCCAAAGGCAATCAAAGCTGCAACAAAAATAAATAAATGGGACATGATGAAACTAAAAAGCTTCTGCACAGCCAGAGAAACAGTCATTAAGGTAAACAGACAACCTAGAGAATGGGAGAAAATTTTTGCATTCTATGCATCTGATAAGGGGCTAATAAGTAGAATATACTTAGAACTCACGAAAATCAGCAAGAAAAAATCAAATAACCCTATTAAAAAGTGGGCAAAGGACTTGAACAGAAACTTTTCTAAAGAAGACAGAAGAATGGCCAACACACATATGAAAAAATGCTCAACATCTCTAATCATCAGGGAAATGCAAATCAAAACCACAATGAGATATCTCTTAACTCCAGTGAGAATGGCCTTTATCAAAAAGTCTCCAAACAATAAATGCTGGCATGGATGCGGAGAGAGAGGAACACTCCTACACTTTTGGTGGGACTGCAAACTAGTTCAACCTCTGTGGAAAGCAATATGGAGATACCTTAAAGCGATACAAGTGGATCTATCATTTGATCCAGCAATCCCATTGCTGGGCATCTACCCAAAAGATCCAATGACACTCTGCAAAAAAGACAGCTGTACTCGTATGTTTATAGCAGCACAATTCATAATTGCAAGGCTGTGGAAACAGCCCAAGTGCCCATCAATCCAAGAATGGATTAATAAAATGTGGTATATGTATACCATGGAGTACTATTCAGCTCTAAGAAACAATGGTGATATAGCACATCTTATATTTTCCTGGATAGAGCTGGAACCCATACTACTAAGTGAAGTATCCCAAGAATGGAAAAACAAGCACCACATATACTCACCAGCAAACTGGTATTAACTGAGTAGCACCTAAGTGGACACATAGGTATAGTAATAGGGTATTGGGCAGGTGTGAAGAGGTGGGGGTCGGGTATATACATACATAATGAGTGAGATATGCACCATCTGGGGATGGTCATGCTGGAAACTCAGACTTGTGAGGGGAGGGGGGACATTGGCATTTATTGAAACCTTAAAATCTGTACCTCCATAATATGTCAAAATAAAAAAAAATCTTTTCCTTTAAAAAAAAAGTTTTCAGTCTGAACATACATTTTCATATCTAAAGGGTAAATATCAAAGAGTGTGATTGCTAAATCGTATGGTAACTGTGTGTTTATCTTTACAAGAAATGGCCAACTGTCTTCTAGAGTAGTCATAGTATATGCATTCCCACCAGCAGTGTATGAGAGTTCATTACAAAAAGAAAATCTCTAAGAGAAAAGATGATTAAGAAATTGTAACTGGAATGTTTTAAAGTGGGAGACATAAGTTACTATTGAATATTGGATTTCCCATCTAATCAGCAGGCTTCTGTAAAATTCAAATCTTGTCTATGCTGAAAACAATTCCTTGGGTTCTACGAAAATGATTCGAAAGGAATCTCACTATTTGGAAAGACACCTTTAGAGAGAAGAAGAAATAATCACTCTTTAAGTCTTGGTCCTCTGGAAACCAGTGGGTTGGTTTCGGTTTTGTCTGAGTTCTAATTCTATGATTAATGCCTAAGTGCCTCTAGTTAAGTCTTTCTGCACCTTTAGGCCCATCTGATCAACTTATTTCCCTAGCTTTTTAACAATCAACTGGGAGCCATTGCTTGAAACTCAGGAGTCATTATGGAGCAGGAATACATAAAAGTGAGAACAAAATCTCTCTGACTTTTTTGCATGTAGTCAATACACACACGTGCGTGTGCCCTTCCCTGCCCCCACGCACAAAGCCCTTATAGAAAACACAAAGATTCATGGACATGTCTTGGAGATTGCCCATTTCAGTGGTGACAGGCACAGAAACTGAGACTGAGAGAAAGAAAGGCCTCATCCCAAATCAGCCAACTGGTGAGTGGCGTGACCAAACCCAGAACCTAAATTCTCCCTGCTCCAGCGCTGTAAGTACGCATGCCCTCAAACAGGCCAGACGCAGGGTCCACGTGGGGCATGGCACCTTTATTAAGCAGAAGTCAGAGACAGCGATTCTCTCGTGCTACCCTGAGGACTCTCGGGCGGGAGCTACAGCCGACAGCAGTGTTTGTACCGACTCTTGCATTCCGCAGGCAGGATGGAGCAGCCGTGGGTCTTCTGTGGTTTGCAGGCACCGCCCATCTGTGCACATTGAAGGGATTTCGCCTTTATTCTGTACCCTGTAGGGAAAGAGGGGGTAAAGAGACAAAGAGATAAAACATTATGTAACCACAGTTACTAGAATCCAGTCTTGTTTAGCAGGCGTAGGCAAATGGCAGTCCCCAGGGCCCAAACTCACTCTCTGCTTGTTTTGGTACAACCTGCAAACTTAGAGAGGTTTGTAGTACATTTCCGAATTGTTGAAAACAATTCAAAGAAAGTGTGTTCTAGGCCGGGCGCGGTGGCTCACGCCTGTAATCCTAGCTCTTGGGAGGCCGAGGCGGGCGGATTGCTCAAGGTCAGGAGTTCAAAACCAGCCTGAGCAAGAGCGAGACCCCGTCTCTACTATAAATAGAAACAAATTAATTGGCCAACTGATATATATAGAAAAAATTAGCCGGGCATGGTGGCGCATGCCTGTAGTCCCAGCTACTCGGGAGGCTGAGGCAGAAGGATCGCTCGAGCCCAGGAGTTTGAGGTTGCTGTGAGCTAGGCTGACGCCACGGCACTCACTCTAGCCTGGACAACAAAGCGAGACTCTGTCTCAAAAAAAAAAAAAAAAAAAAAAAAAAGAAAGTGTGTTCTGACACATAAAAATTATATAAAATTCAAATGTCAGTGTCTATAAGTAAAGTTTGATAGTGAGGCAGCCACGCCCATTTATTTGCATAGCACTGTGGCTGCTTTCAAGCTACAAAAGGCACAGGTGACTTACAACCTGGTCTTTCACGGAAAACGCTTGCTGACTGCTGCAGTAGTCTCTTTGGATTGTGCCATAAAGTCAGGAATGCGATTCACTTCTCTTCACACGCTTTCCATAAAAGCGCCCTCAGGTGCTTTCTCCCTCTCAGGAGGCGGCAGCACCGCGCAAGTGCGCGAGCGAGTACTGAGGCCGCAAGTACTGCGCGAATGGATGACTGAGGTGTCCTGCCGGCCCCGGCTCCCAAATGCTGTGCCTCCCACGTGCTATGACATGTGAATCGTCTCCTAAACTGTGGTCCTCTAAATGCCACCACCATGGCTTGTGCAAAACACCTGTCTCCCGAGGCTCTAGTGAAAGGCTGTAGAGAAAACAGCAAGAGGCCAGGAAGGTTGGCTTTAGCGACTCAGAGGTGACGCATAGAGAGTAAGGGAGAGAGAATGTCAAACCATCCCACCACGAGGAAAAAACAAGTAAGAAAAGTGTTTCCATCAGAATTTATGGCTTTTAACGTCCCTGTGTTGTATTCTGTCATGGGATTAGTTTAATAAGAAAATAACAAAGTCACTGTGTTGTGATGGGATGTGTACTCAGCTAGGAATTAGAGGATTTGGCTTCTAATTTTTGCTTCACTACAACTGTAGTTATGGGCAAGCAGGTTTTCCTCTGAGAGCCCTAGATTGTCCTAATTTTTCACAAGAAGAGGAGGATAAAGATATAGATACAGATATGGACTCATATCTCCACCTGCCTCCGTACCCATATCTACAGCTATCTGTCATGTGTCTGCCTGTCTGCATCAGTGATCTTGTCTGTCTTCTCTCTCGCTCCCTCTGTCTCTTCTCTCTCTCTCTTTCTCACAACCAGGCTGTTCACCAGGTAGATCTGGCTCTTTATTTGCTACACACAGGTAGGACTGTCTCCCTGCCTTTGTCTGACTGGGCGGGGCCGTGAGACTTCTTTGGTGAATAAATTTTGAACAGAAGTGCTGTGTTCTTTCAGGCCTGGAGCCCTCAATTGTCATCATTAGACTTGGAGCTCTCTGCTTTGCTCAGCAGTGGCCAAGAAGGTGCAGTGGAAAGAGCAGGCCTGTGGCTGTGATGAATTTTGCTACAAGCAAGAATCAAAACTTTGCTCTTTTAAGATGCCAAGATATGGACATTGTTTTCACACCAGTGTCACCTGGCCCAGGCTGATGTGTGCAGAAAGTTGCTATGAAATGTGACACTCCCAGTTAAATTTGAATCTCAGATAATCAATGATTAATCTTTCAGTAGAAGCATGTCCCAAATATTGCACAGGATGTACAACATGCCCTTACTAAAAATTATTTATTGTTTATATATAATTTAATAAGTAAATTTATTTTCTGGGATTGTTGAGTATTTAGTAAGATTACAGTCTTTGGGACCAAGCCAAATTGGGCTTGAGTCTGGGCTACCGTACACACATTCTGCATGACTTTGAACAAGGTATGTCACTTCTTAGTCTCACCTTTAAGACAGGGCCCCAAATACCTACCCTACCAATAGTGCTATGAGAAGTATACATGGGATAGTATGTTAAAAGTTTTTCTCATGATGTTTGGTAAGGAGAAGGTGGTCAATTGTTAGTGTCGTTGTCTGGGTTCATAGGGAAAGTGTCTGAAAGCTGTGAAGTCCGCTTTAAATGCCATAACCATTAGTTATGTGTGTTATCTGTCATGACTCCTAGTGAAAGGTAATCTTAAGGAAAGGTTTTCAATGTCTTTAATCTTCCTTTCCTTATTTGTACAATGGAGTGTGTCGCACATGCCACGCTGCTCTCAGCGATGACACTGCGCAGTCATGACCCGTCCCAGTGCATCCTTTGGATGATGCACCAGTGTGGCCCACGCCAGCCCCAGGCACGTCCCCCATACCATCCCTCCAGGTGGACCCACAGCTCACCTGATGCTGTCTGGGTGAGACATATGAGGAGGAGAAAGAGAAGGAACAGCAGCCTCATGCTGGGAAGCAAGCCGTCAGGAGTGTGAGACGACCCGGCAGTGTCCGAGGGTGGCTTGTTCTTCAGTGCACATCAGTGAGGACAGATGATCTGAGAGAGAGCTTGGAAAATTCAGCTGGAGAGGAAAAGCTGACATCCGAACACAGACACTCAAACGGGGCCTGGGTGTGATCTGAGATGCTTCCTCTACGGACACATGATCACAGATCCAAGTTTCCTCCTGTCAAAAAGGAAGGGCTTTCCGGGAAGTCTGCATTTATTTTCTAGTGGATTTTCATTTCTGTTTATGGCTCTGAGGTTAGGTGCCCCCCCCTTCTTTTAAGAAGAAATCATTACAAAACAATGATTTGGAGGATTCATTCATTTATTCATCCACTCTCATTTCATGTCCCTGCCTCTGTCTCCTTTCCCTTTAGAAATACAAAGAAAATCATCCTTTTTAGAGGCTAAAAAAAAGGAGATGAAATTTTGTACATGGAAATTGCCTTCTCTCTTTTTTCAAGTTCAATAATTCTTTTGCTACTTAAATTAAAAGAAAGAATGGTTCTACTCCAGGGAAGCTCTTACCTTGCCAACATCTTGTGTGCATCACCACAGGGTAAGACCTTATGGACCAGAGAAATCCTTAACACAGGCATTTGTGGCAAAGGAAGTAAACAGCAGAAAGTATACAAAGTAAAACATTGGAGTGCCTCCTCCTCTCTCCCCCCTCCCTGATCCCTGTGTCGCTTTATATTGTTTCTAGTCTCTCTCCTCCACTGTACTCTGATTTTCTAAATTAGCAGGTGCTGTATTATCTCACTTTCTCAGCACCCTGAACAATATACCTGGCATAGAGAAGGCATTCAAGTATTTGTTTCAATGAATGAGTAACTGGATGATGGAATCACCATGTGGATGAATAAATGGATGGTGGGAAGGAGGAGGGTAGAAAGGAGGGAGGGAAGTACTATGGTCTGAAGGTTTGGATGTTTGTGTCACCCCAAATTCTTATGTTGAAATACTAACTTCCAAGGTGATGTTATTAGGAGGTAGGGCCTTTGGGGGTGATTAAATCATGGAGTTGGAGCCCTCATGAATGGGATTACTGTCCTTATAAAAGCGACCTAAAGGAGCTTGTTTGTGAGAAAGAAGTGGGACCTCACCAGGCACAGAACCTGCTGGTGTTTTGATCTTGGACTTTCAGCCTCCAAAACTGTGAGAAATAAATTTCTGTTGTTTATAAGCTACCCAGTTTATGGTATTTTGTTATAGCAGCCCAAAAGGACTAAGACAGGATGGATGGAAGGAAGGAAGGAAGGAAGGAAGGAAGGAAGGAAGGAAGGAAGGAAGGAAGGAAGGAAGGAAGGAAGGAAGGGAGGGAGGGAGGAAGGAAGGAAGGAAGGAGAAAGAAAGAAAGGAAGGAAGGAAGGAAGGGAGGGAGGGAGGGAGGAAGGGAGGGAGGGAGGGAGGGAGAATGGAACTCAGCAAACCAGACCTGTATCTCTAGGAGTGGTCACCCTACATTAATAATACTGGTGTTGAGAAGCCAAAAGGTAGATTGTTGCTGAGATGCAGACATCAAAGAAATCATCCAGACTCTGAAGTATGCCATGGTCTTTGGAGGAATAGAGACAAAAAAATTATCCTAATAGTGAGAGAGCTTTAGAATCAGACAACCATGAGTTCAGAATCTTTGCTTTGTTATTCATTGGCTGAATGATGTCGTGCAAATAACTTAACCTTTTTAAGCTCCGTGTCTTCTTCTGTTCATGTGGTCATGGTTACAGTGTCAATCCCCAACTCTCTGTCTCAGTAAAAGGGGCTTGGGAGGAGTGGATGGCTGACCAATACCTCTCCATGCAGAAAGTTGTGTTTTCACTAGGCATTTCAACCCAAACTGCGAAAAGAATATTTTAGCCAACTTCTGGGTCCCCCAAAATATACAAGATGTCAGTTTCTTCCACCAAGGGCTAAAATGTCTCAGAAAAAAAAATAAATTTAAAACTGAATGGGGCCAAGTTGTGCCTTTTGGAGCCCATGGAATTAGAGGCTGGTAGTGAAACTTTGGCCATTTTTGATGTGGAAAAAAGATTGTCCTAGACAAGACCTACAATTGTAGCCATATACACACACACACACACACACACACACACACACACACACACACGCACACAATTTCCCATTGAACTTTACTTATTAAACATTACCATCACTTAAGTTTGTATAATTAAAAAAAACATTAAAACTCCTCCAACCATCACTCCAGTTAGAGGGAATTTTCTTGAACACCCCTCATGTGCCAGGAAACTTGGAAGTGGTATCTTGGTTGACCCAAAGTCCATGTGAGATACGTATTTCCTTTGAGCGAGTCAATGTATGTCATACAACTAGCGATCAAGCCAGGATTTGAACCGTATCTATCTGTTGCCAAAACTTTTGCTTATCTTACAGTATTTCTTGCTGAAAACAGAATGATAATATGTGCTGAATGAAGGAACATAGCTATGTATGATAAACTGTCTCTCAAGGGCCTCTTTAACAAAGGCACCAATCCAATCCCATTAATGAAGGCTTTGATCACTTCCCAAAGCCCCCACTTCTTAATACTGTTGCACTGGAGATTAGGTTTCAAAATGTGAATTTGGTGGGGGACACAAACATTCATAGCAAATGATGATGATGATGATACTAGAAAATGAAGTGTAGACTGAAAGCTGTTGTCCATATTCCCAACTCCCACACTTCTTGTACACCAAAAGCAACCCTCTTCATGGCCTCTCATTGCACCTTCAACCCCAGATGGCTCCCCTGAAAACCTACCTTGCAGTTAGTTGGCTTCTCCACCCTCATAGGCTGAATGCTGCCTGTCTGTTCAGGCAGAGACACTGAGAGTAGCTGCCCATTACCACATAATGAGGGATCCGATCAACAATGGGCAGAGGGAGGGATGGGTGAGGCTTTGCAGGATACATCATGACCCTGTGGACAGCAATCAGGCTGGAGTGGCGCTGAGAGAAAGAAGGAAGTGGGGACTGGGTGGACACCCCTCTTGAAGGGTATCACCAAAAAGCTGCACAAAGACAAAAACCAGCAGCTGAAGGGTGATGTGTATAGAAGAAGAGGTGTTTGTTTTAGTTTTTAGAGGCTGAATAGAGGGTGGTGAGAGGTAGAGCAGATGAGAGAAGGGATAGCCAGAGTCCTGTCCATGAGTGTGCAAGAGAAAGGGGGTCCAGGACCCAAGTGGAAAGTGGCCCTGGACCAGAACAATGGCAGCCCATTCTGGTGATCATCGACTCCACGATTCACAGAGAAAAACAGCCTCTTTGATGCTGAGATCATAAAAACATTCCTCCCATGAAGAAGTCATAAAAAGACACTTAGAAATGTTATGACAATAAAACACTGATTTTTTTAGGGTAAAGCTTGCAAGTAGTAAAAAAAATTAAAATTCCAGTAACAACAATAAGGTTTTAATGAGCAGTAAACCAAATCACATTTAAAATCAGATAAAGATTAGAAAGTAAAATAAGCTAAAAAATAAAGAATACAGAGGGTATAAAATATAAGAGATAATTAGATTAAGGTAAAACAAAAGCAATAAAATGAAAAGGTAGAAGCATAGGAAGAGAAGTTTATTGCTATTAACAAATAGGAACTCAGAAGTGGAAGGGAAAATTTAAAAATGGAAACTATTAATATACGAAGTAGAATAAGGATTTTGGAAGTCAAGGAAAAGCTTGACTGTTGAGAAACAGATAAAAAAAAGTAGCTGCAGGCAGCAACAGAGTGAAGATCTCCAATGGTGGAAGACGCAAGGCCTCAGACAAGGGTGCTCCTGCTACTGCCCTTCCCTTCCAGGGACTCTCGGAGGCCGTGTAAGCCCCAGGTACTAACCGCTCCTTGGAGTCACTCACTGTTGGGTGTCTCTGCACCTGTAAGAGCTGCCCATGTTAACAAACTGTTTTTCTCTTGTTAATCTGTCTTCTGTCAGTTTAATTTCCGTGGTCCCAGCCATAGAGCTGAGGAGGGTAGGGGAAAAACATTGTCCCTCCTCCAACACCCCTCATGGATTCTAGTCCCTGGCAGCCTCCATAACCACCTCCTAGTAAAACGCTAAAACTTTTATTTATTTATTTATTTATTTAGAGACAGAGTCTCGCTTTGTTGCCCAGGCTAGAGTGAGTGCCGTGGCATCAGCCTAGCTCACAGCAAACTCAAACTCCTGGGCTCAAGCAATCCTACTGCCTCAGCCTCCCGAGTAGCTGGGACTACAGTAAAACTTTTATTTTTAAAAACATAGATTTATTCAGCCCTTATTTTCCTTCCCCTCCATGTTATCTGTGTCCCCCAGGGCCTAATCTTTTGAAATCAAATGTATACTGTGTAGGCTTAAACAAAAGAGCAATTTTCTTCCCTAAATGAAAGTTAACTACCTGCCTATTACCCAGGAATGAATGGAATAGTTAAAATCAGCACTTTTGTCCCCCTTTTGGTCCCTCATAGAGCCATTATTGTTTCACATGAAGTGAATTTTAGAGTCCAATCTTACTTTGAAGTCCCTGACCAAGCAGGCACCCTCCAATGCAGACCTCTCTGCTAGTAAAACGTGACTCCCTCACTTTCTGCGCTGCATCCTCCCACTGCCCGGCCAAGGATGTTTGCTGCCCGGACTCCAGAGAAGCTGCAAGTTGATTACCGTGTAATAAGACCTACCCATAAAATAAGCCCTAGCAGGATTACTAAGCATTGGCACAATATAAACCCTACCCTGAAAATAAGCCCTAGTGATGGGCGTGGCTACCCAGCGCATCTGCACAACCCATGCATGTGGTCGCGGAGTGGTAAAGAACACAAGCAGCCCTTCCCATCTGCCCCATGAGAGCTCTAGTGCTCCACACAAGAGATTGGGGCCAATGGTTCTAAAGTAAATAGAGTCACAAGAAATTCAGGATGGAATTCAGGGTTTGGAGAGTTATGATGATGTTCCAGAAGATGACAACTTAACTCTATTTGAATAAATTTAGATTGTTGCACCATACTTAAAAAAAATAACACATCCCCTGAAAATAAGTGCTAGGGTGTCTTCTTGAGGAAAAATAAATATCAGACCCTGTCTTGTTTTCGGGGAAACACAGCATGTGCATCCACCTACACAAGGCATTTCTAGTCTGTGTTGGCACTGATTCTTCGTGGAGAAGCTCTACAAACCTCAAGAGATTATTTGTGAACTAAATTGAATACAGCAGTATATAATATACATATTGACTAAAGAGCTATGTAAAATACACAGTCAGGCACTTAAAACTGAAGCAAAATCGGCGGGTTTGAAGCAAACGGAGGTGCCCAGCCGAGCCTGGGTAAGAGGTGTCTGTTGCGAGGAGCAGAACCAGGAGCTGCTCAGACGGTGGTGAGATTTTATTCACTTGGTGGCCTGGGAGTGGCTTCCTCAAGGGACCGGGGGCCTAACTGGGTCTTGAAGGGTTTTGGGGTCACATTTATGGAGATCTAGGTTGCACAGGAGGTGGCAAGGCAGGGCAGATGCATGGGGGACAGGACAAAGGGGGGCATGCGGGAAGATTGGGGTCCAATTTACTCAGAGCCTAAAATTCTGCAAAAGTTAATGGATCGCGAGGAGCCCACAAATTAAGCATGGTGCACTCACATGCAGAATCTCTAAGCCAGAGGTCGCCTCGATGGGGCTCTCTGACGGCCACGTGAAACACCACACCATAACCGGGAGGTCGGGGTTCTCGGATTTTGAACAAAGCGCTTTAATTGGGTTCACATTTTTAAATAAATCTCAAGGGAACAGTTTCTCACTCTGTAGTGGTCTCAGCAGTGGGCGTTTTTTTTTCTCCTATTTCAATCTCCTGCAGCATTTTTGTCTGGGCAGGAAACACCTGCCAATCTCTTCCCAGTCACGGTAGCATCTGAATGGAAAACAGAAGCCCGCGTCCTCAAGGCAAGATAAAGGAAATAGTCCTTTTGCGAAGAAACCTGGAGAAAAAAGAAAAAGCATAGAGAGAAACTCAAGCACCAGGGGCAAGGTCCAAACACGAGTTAGTATCCCTTCTGGGAGAAAAGCTCCCATCCAAGGATGGGGCTACATGATCATGATGATTTGGCCTGGGATTGTCACTTCTTGTGGCTCATTTTCCTACAAAGGGATTGGCACTTGTGTGTTGCTAGCAGTACCTGTTCTCCACGAAACAGATTGCCGAGCATTCTGATGGTGGCAGAGAGATTTGGGCTACTCGATGGGTTCAGTTGGGGGCCTGTCAGGGGTTTCATGCAAATCTGTCCCCTTTATGAAAAAATAGACTAGAGGCTATAGGAGGTCAGTAGTTATGAAACACAGGTCGGTACATCCCAAGTTAGAAAAAGCAAATGGGAATCCATTTGTTTTTCTTTTTTCCGAATCACTTGGTTGATTAAGTATTTGAGCTTAGGCGGGAAGAGAAGATGTAGTAATTGTTTTATAAACATTCAATTTATAAATATTTAATCATCAGAGTGCTATCAAATAAAGGTGATAAAGTCACAAGAGATTTATAGTATTTCTCATTTCTAATATTTTTTCTTCTCAAGTTTCTTCTTTTCCTCTTTATCCTCCCTCCCTCCCTCCCTCCCTCCCTCCCTCCCTCCCTCCCTCCCTCCCTCCCTCCCTCCCTTCCTTCCTTCCTTCCTTCCTTCCTTCCTTCCTTCCTTCCTTCCTTCCTTCCTTCCTTCCTTCCTTCCATTCCTTCCTTCCTTTCTTACTATTCGTTATCTCTTATTCAATGCCCTGCATTGGTTTCTTTTTTTACTTCTCCTGGTGTCAATGCCAATGTGACATAAAGGAAGAGGTGGCCATCAGTAGGTGATGCTCCAGCTCGTGCAAAGCAGGGCATGCTGGGGACAGGGGAGAGACCATGTGGGGGCACCAGTGGCCAAGGTTTGCCATGTGAGGGGTCCCAGGCATATTATGAGTTTCTCTAGGTGGAAATAACTCCCCCATTTAATTGTAAAAGGATATACATATAAAAGAATAACCTGAGTTTCTATCCTCGAAGTAAAGTTAATTCTTCTACTTCCATTGAAAGAAGCACCTGATTTTTGCCAAGAGGCCGCGGTGAGCCTCGCGGGTATTTCAGGCCGGGCAGAGAAAGCACAAAACCCTGGCATCTCCTCAAGGCCTCGCCCGCCTTCAGTGTGAAAGGGAGGGTGCTCAGTTTTAGAGAGCAGCGCAAACAAGCTGTTCGGCCTAGAGGAAGAATGAGTCATAGACCGCAGCCGACCCTCAAATTATGTCGCCCCTCTTATTCCTCAGACCTGTCCTTACCCGAAGCGAGCAGCAGGGATAAAAACGGCAGCGTGAAGAACAAGTCGCGGACCCTCATGGCTGATGCTGACAATCTAAGTGACAGGCAAGGCGGGAGAGAGTGGTGAAGTTTTCTAGTTTATAAACAGGAAAGGGAAAGGTTACTGGCAAAGGGATGTTTGCAATTCTAGTAAAGTCACACAATGATGGAAACATAGCATCTTTCATTCTAGAACATATGACGTGTCACTGAACCAACTTGTGGGCACAGACACGTCCGCTGCCCGCTTCCATCTGAGACACGGAAAACACACCCATGACGGGTCCTTCTGAGGAGGGAGGCACAGGAGGGAGCTAAGCTGGGCTTTTCTCCACTTGGTAGCAATCCCAAGATGACATCTGGCTCGGATTTAATCCGTTTCCAAGGTGGCATTTATTGCTCTTAATTTTCTGTCCTCCCCCCAAAAAAAGCAGGAGACAGAATGAGGCCAAAATGGTGTTCATTCAGGCCACTGTAGCTGGGGTGTGAATCAGGACTTGGTCAGACCAAGAATAGCTACTCGTGGTGTTTGGATAGAACCAGAATAGGTTAATCTTCCATCCTGAGAGAAGGGAAGAAAGGTGAGCCACCTTTAAAGGGAAATGACCCAATGGCTCTTGGATTTTTATGTGACATTAAAACTTATGTGAAAGGCCTCTTAAATTCCATGCCAACTTAATACTACAAAGATTATGAATTAAGACGCTATCTCCATTTCTTATCTTCAGAGAAAGAGAAGGTAGGGGTAAAGTAACAGGCCGGATTGCTACCTTCTTAGTGTCTCTTACACGTTCTATGCAAATGAAGATTCTAAGAATGTACGTTTATGACTTCAGGTCGTTCATGGATCAGAATCCTTCACGTCCAGAACTCAGGCTTTGAAGACAGCTCTATGTTTTGTGGGGCATAAATTTGCTCTGTTTTTCTTAGGACAGCCCTTCGGAGGTATGTGATGAACTAATAAAGAATTAAACCTTGAACTGTAAGGATACATTCCCTAACAGTGCAGGTTTATTCCTGTCATTTCTGCTGAGAAAATACTTTTGGAGCAGAGATCTCCTGGAGATGTGAAATCACAGAGCAGAAACAACATGCCCTCCAGCCCCACTCAAGACTGGACCTGTTGGCCATAAATCCCAAATTGCAAATCTGAAATAAAATAGGTCCTTCATGTAAGACTGAGCTCAGGGCATCCCCTGAAGGAGGTCAAGTGGGCACATGTGAACCTTGGGTGCATCTATGAAGAACATTATATAAAGTTCAGTAAAATGTCTATAATGTATCATCATTTTTTCTCCTTCAAACAAATGCAGGTTTAGATCATTTGTGCTACTAATTTTATGCTTGGTGCATGATTTGAAACTAGTATACAGTCTGCCTTTCTTATCTATGGGCTCTGTGTTCATGGATGCAACTAACTGTTGATCAAAAACATTCAGAAAATATTTGTCTGGACATGTACACACTTTTTTGTTGTCATTATTCCCTGAATAATACAGTGTAACAACTATTTACATAGTATTGACATTGCCTTAGGTATTAAAAATAATCTAGAAATGATTTGAAGTGTATAAGAAGATGTGCCTAGTTATATGCAAACACTACACCATTTTATATTGAGATGCCGTGACCTGGGGATCTCCAAGCATCTGAGGATTGTATTATCTATAAGAGGTTCTGGAACTAACCCCTCATGTCTTCAAGCTCACTCATTCTTTCTTCTGCTTGGTCAGTTCTGCTGTTGAGAGATTCTGATGCATTTCTCAGTTTGTCAGTGGAATTCCAAAGCTCCAGAATTTCTGCATAATTTTTTTATTATTATTTCAATCTCTTTTTAAAATGTCTCTGATAGGCTTCTGAATTCCTTCTCTGTGTTGTCTTGAAGTTCATTGAGCTTCTTCAGGTCAGCTATTTTGAATTCTTTGTCCGAAAGGTCACATGTCTCCATCATTCCAGAATTGGTCACTGGTACCTTGTTTAGTTTGTTTGGTGAGGCTGCATTTTGTAGGGTGTTCTTGGTGCTCATGGATGTTCATTGAGGTCTGGACATTGAGGAGTTAGGTATTTGTTTTAATCTTCACAGTCTGGTCTTGTTTGAACCTGTCTTTCTTAAGAAGGCTTTCCAGGTATGCAGAGAGAATTGAGTATTGTGATCTAAGTCTTTGGTCACTACAGCACTACCAGCACTAGGGGTACCCCAAGCCGAGTTATGACTCTTGCAGACTCCTGGTGGTGCTGCTTTGGTGGCCTTTGCTAAGGTATGGGAGAATTCCCTGGATTGCAGGTAAAGATTCTCCCTGTCTTCCCTCCCTTTCTGTGCTGGGCTGCTGAAGCTGTGGGAGGAGTGATGTGGGTGCTCCCTTATGGCCACCAGCACCAGGTTGCAGCTGAAGCCAGCCCAATCTTACCCAAAGCCTGTGATGACTGTTGCCTGGCTACCTCTGATGTTTATTCATAACCCAAGGGCCCTTTAATCAGCAGGTGGTGAATCCTGCCAGGACTGGATTTTTCTCCAAGGAGTTATTTCAGAACCAAAGTGCATTTACCCAGAGGTAGATTATATGCACATTAAGTGAAAAGTTAATATAAAGAAATAGAGAGCTTCTTATAAATACAGGATACATCATATGTCATGATTTAGCTACCACACCATCCGAAGGAGAGAGGGCAGGGCTAGATAGGTACCTTGCTTCTTCCCCTTACAGTCTATGGTGACTTTCTTTTAGACATTTGCTCCCCACTTCTTGCCTTCCACGCTATATTGTCCTGATTTCGTTGTGCCTTCAAACAGGCTTTATTTTTTTTTCATAGCATTTACTTGGATCATATCATGTCTAGATGTAAGAAAATCCTCTGTCCAACTCAACTTTGCCATTCAATTTATAGTTTACGAAGCAATGTCTCCCCTCCGGGGCCAGTCGGTAAATGAATAAGACAAAGTCCACACCTGTAGGTAGAGGTCTTATAGCCAAATAGGGAATTAAAAATTTACCCACATATGCATGAAGCAGAAACCACAAGAAAGGGAGCCCTTGTGCAGAAAGGAGGGTAGAGCTTCCCTCTCTGGGTGGATGGATCAGTCATGGTTCCTTGAGGGAAGGGAACTTTGAGTTGGGAATTGATGAAGGGGGAGTGCTTTTTAGAGAAGATGTGGGTAGGTAAGGGCATAGGAGGCAAGTGTCAAGACCAACTGGGGAAGGTGGAAGGACGCATGGAAGCGATGCTGACACACCTGGAAAGCAGGCAGGTCCCCAGATCCTTAGTGTGGGGAGCTTAAAAGGGTGTCCTAAGGACTTCAGAGATGGGCCTGCCCGAAACCAACACTGCATGATCAGCACAATTACTACAAGGCAAGGTTCTTTGTCTCAGAACAAAGGAGTTTAATTTGGTTTACACATCACATGTCTTTGCTGACGGAGCCGCGCGGCCACACGGGTCCCTGCGGCTTCCGGGCTCATTTCTTCCTGCAGCATTTGATTCTGGAAGGGCCGCAGGTGCCGATCTGCTTCCACGTCTTAGTGCAAGAAAACGGGATACACACGCCTCTATTCCTGGCGCAGCTAATGGGATTTGTGATATCTTTCGAAAAGCCTGGAAGGAAGTGAAAAACAAAAAGGGTAATGGAGTGTTAGAGTTCAAAACCCCATACCAGAAAGGCTTTGCGTAAACCCTCAAGGGGTTTCCTTCTCCTTCCTCAATAATGATGATGAGAGTTCAAACTAGTATACAGTCTAGTTTATATACTACACTGCAGTCTAGTATACAGCTGGGGGCATCTACTTTTAATCTTTGGGTTTCCAAGTCATTGAGCCCTTTAAGTACTTGAGCTGAGTAGAGAAAGATGCAGCTCAAGGGTGGGAATTGTTTGATACGATCTTAATACCGAAGTGACTCCAAACAACAAAAACCAATAATTAACAATAATTAACAGTAGACGTAAACGTTCATAATGGATTGCTTCTAATATCTAAATCTGGGTCTAAGTCTCTTCCTCTCTTTCCTGCTTCCTTCCTCTCTCCCTTCCCGGTACTGTTCTAAGCGTTGGAATATTGCAAGTTGCCTCTCAGAGCACCGTTGCTCTTCTGTGACCCAGAACCCATAAGCAAAACTGAGGCCTTTTCACTATAATTTCTACCTGAGCAGTTTTCCTGGGTCTCAGGGAGGGAGAAATTCTCTTTCGCCCTCTCCCTGTCTCTCCCTTCCACCCTCCCTTCTTTCTTCATCCTTTTTATTCTATTTCCACAATGTCAAGGAGAAATAAAGGTGAGGCATCCAATTTTAAAAGTTATCAGCAGGCTGTCCTTGCGCTGGGCTCCAGGAGTGGCCCTGTAGAAGGGACCTTTCTTGAGGACCTTTGATCTGAAAAGACTAAGGGACTCAGTGTCCCAAACAGGAGCTCTCAAAGTGTAGTCTGGGTCTTATGACTCTATGGAATTCTCTAGGTTACTCAAATCTACACTTTAAACATAAAAATGTATAAAATGACATATTGTGCTTCTTTCTTTGGATAAAATTAAAATTTCTTGTGTTTATTTAAAAAAAAAAAAGGTCAACTAACAGAGGATTCAACCCTGGTCTTAGCAGCCTTAGCGTGAAGAGCAGGGAGGAGACAAGATTGCTCCTTCGCCTCGGCCAGGAAAAGGCTGTCAGGTGGTCACTGGGAGCCTGTCACTGCTACCTGTCAGGTGTCCACTGGCCTTACCTTAACCTCCACTCCCATAGAAGGAAACGATGCCTGGTTCTCCTAAGCAGGTCACACAACGCACTTGGTCTAAAAGTATACTGAGAAGAGAGAGAGAGAAAGAGAGGCAGAAGGAGACAAAGAGAGAGAAAGAGAGAAAAGAAGGAGGCAGAGAGAGAGAAAGAGAGAGAGAGAGAGGAAGGGGCAGAGAGCGAGCCTTTACCCCATTCTTGCCATCCGTCCATGCCTATTTGCCTGGCCCGCCTTACCTGGAAGAGGCAACAGGAACACCAAGAGGCCCGTGAAGAGGAGATGCAGGATCCTCATGGCTGGTGAGCTCTTCCTCAAACTGAGACTGTGGAGGAAGTGGAGCTGTCCACCTTATAAAGGCGCAGGCACCCGGTCACTCGGTAGCATTCATCATGGGCCCTGGCCGCAATGCCGGTAATTACACAATGATTGCAGCTGGACATCTACCTGGTGCGTCAGAGCAGTGGCCCTCAGAGAACAAAAGACACTCAACAGCTCTTATGCAAATCGGGACACAAACAACCCTGGGTAATCCCTTCCCTCTGCCCTTGGGACCAGCAGCTCCTTCCTGTCTAGCTCCATTTAGGATCTGGGGTATGGATGTTGTTCAGGGACAGACTCAAAGTGTGGCCTGGAGCTCACCTGCCTGCTCCGGGAAGGTTCTACTTTTCCTGAGAGTCTGGGGACAGTCTCAGGCCAATGGGACATGAGATAAAGGCTGTGTCCCCAAACCTCTAACCTATAACAGGGAGGGAATTGAGGCTGTTTCTATGTGGCCAAGTGCTTCAGTCCCCCAGGCAAGGGCGGGAAGTCCCATTCCTACAGACAGGCTTTCGGAAAGCAAATTCTTTCACATCTATGATTTCAGAAAAACGAGGTTTCCCCAGCAGTGTGTCCCAGATGTGAGTTAGCCAAAGCAGTTTTAACTGGTCCCCATTTCTTGTGGCAGGGCTGGCTTTCTGGGCTTGAGCCCTGTGTAGTGGCACTCAAGGGACCTGCTCTGAGAAGGGACCAGGCATGGTGTAAGTGTCTGCTGTCACTATCTTGATCTTCTTAATAGTGTTTCCTTGGAACTTGTGTTTTGTACGTGAAGCTGGAGGCAACAGAGCATGCACATGGATATGTGGGGAGACGTGACGTGCAGGCTCATGGCTCAGTGGACAGAGGGCAAGGTGCGTGCGGACAGCTGACCTGGCTTCCCCGGGCACCTCAGGGCTGGTTGGACTGGTGGTGGCAAAGGCGGCAGCAGCAGGAGTGGCCTCAGCCCTGGGAGGAAAGGAGCATCTCCATGTGGGGACAGCAAGGAGACCTCTGTGCCTATCCATTCCGGGTCACTCCTGGAGCATCTGCACAAATACTAACTCCCTGGCCTGACTCCAGGACAGGAACCATAGGTCTTCAGGTGGCAAAGTGTCAGCAAATCATTGCAAAACTAAAGTGTGCACACGGACATTGCCATAAAGCATAGCAGGGAGTTATTAGAATTCTTTAAAGAGTTTAGAATTTTTCAAGGAGTTATCCCAGGCTCGGAAATAAAAAAGCAAATTTATAGAGATAGTCATGTTCAACAGAGAAGAATGCCATTTTTATGTGAAACTTCAGTCTTTAACGAAGACAACAATTTTAAAATTAATGTTTCCCTATTATTAAAGGAACAGCTCTGCAGTGCATAAAACAGGAGTTTTAAACTTTTGGTCTCACATGGGCCTCTGCAAAGTATGGGAATGTCAGAAGCCACAGCCAAATTCCACTGGATAAATTAACATTTAAAATTAAATTCATCTAGACTTTGAACTTGGAGGGATAAAGGAAAAAAAAGTTAAATTCAAACTTACATGAAACTGATTTGTCTAAGGAGTTAAATCGTTTTATAAAAGTATCTTTACAAGAATCATCAGCTCTTGAAATACTAAAATTTGTTTCATAATAATATATCCCAGTGACGTCACAGGTTATAAAACACTCTGGCAACATGTGATTCTTCTCCAAGGAAAAAATGAAGTTGCTTAAGGTGGGAAGTTCGATGACCTAATTAATGAATTGGCAGGAAAGTGGACCACAAAAAAATGTATGATTCATCCAGATATCCCATTAATAAAGTATTATTTATTCCATTAAAATTATGACACTAAATTTTGGAGGGGATTTGTATGATTATGCTGTTATTCCTGTATAACTGTTATCCTCATTACATTTTATAAAATAATAAAATGTTTTTAAAGAAAGTTTATCTCTTACTGCCTTTAACACTTTTTTCCCCCTGTTTTGAACAAGGTGCCTGCATTTTCATTTTGCACTGAACTTTGTGAATTTGGCAGTCAGCCCTGCCATGGCCATTTTCATGTAAGTTATCTTTTTAAATTTAAATTAATTAAATAAATCAATTAATTAATTTAAATTAATTAAAACAATTTAATTTAATCTTCAACAACAAATCTGCCAGGTAGGTATTACCCAATCATGCAGATGAGGAGCCTGGGATCTAGAAAGTCTCAAAGGTATGTCCAAGGTCAACTGGCCACTAAGTGTCAGGGATGTAATTTGAAACAAAATCTACCTCTCGTCAAAGCCCATGTTCCTAATGACTGGGACACAATCACCACGGTGTTCCAGTAACTACGCCACTTCTTTCTCCTGCAACCCTAACGCTAGAGTAATGCTCTGCCACATGCCTGACTCCCACAGAGTTACTGTCATCCTCGCCAGTCACTCGAGCTCCTTGGTGAATTCAGAGCCTGTTCTGACCTTGCAGGACGTAATCGAATGACGGTGTGATTACCCCCACCTTGTGGCAACTCTTTGTTGCCATCGCCCTAAAATGCAAATCTATTCTCAGTTTCCTGCCCGCCTGAAGTGTGGGTGTGCATACACCTGAGGCATCTTGTTATTTCTTTGTTTCCCCTTTATGAGCCCAGTGAGAGTTCTAACAATTTTATTGGTCTTCTCAAAGAATCGACTTTTCTTTCTTTCTTTTTTTTTCAGATTTGTAATTAACTTTTTTTTTAGCGCATTATGGGGGTACAAGTGTTAAGGTTACATATATTGCCCATGCCCCTCCTCCACCCTCGAGTAAGAGCTTCAAGTGTGTCCATCCCCTAAATGTTGCACATCTTACTTGTTGTGGTTGTATACCCCTCCCCCCCTCCCCCCTCCCACCTGCCCAGCACCCGATAAATGTTATTCCTATATGTCCACTTAGGTATTGATCTGTTAACCCTTTGCACTCGCTTGCTTTTTTCTCATTATCCACTCGACATTATCCACACTCCACATCTGAGTGCAAAGGGTTAATACCAGTTTGCTGGTGAGTACATGTGGTGCTTGTTTTTCCATTCTTGAGATACTTCACTTAGTAGAATGGGTTCCAGCTCTAACCAGGAATATACAAGAGGTGCTATATCACCATTGTTTCTTAAAGCTGAATGGTACTCCACGGTATACATATACCACATTTTATTAATCCACTCATGAATTGATGGGCACTTGGGTTGTTTCCACAGCTGCCTGTCTAGTGATTTTTGATTGGATTCAGTACGTTATAAAGCTAAACCACTGAAGGACGGATTGGGTTGTTTCCCTTTAAAGAATGTTAGACTCTATTCTGGCTCCCATTTAAGTTTCTTATAGATCAGTTTGGCCCTTTCAAGAATGGTTTTTAAAAAATCTATTAGAATAATTGCACAGTAATTGCACAACAGCTTAACCGAGAGCTAAATAACACCACTGCTAATGTGATACCCCTCTGAAGACACTGAGATCTCTCCACTTTGCTGGTGGGGATGCAAATTCTACCAGCCTGTGTCTGCCCCAGAAATTGCCCCATCCAATCCCTTGGAGTGTTTTTGTTTTTCTTTGGCCTTGTGAAGTTTTGCCCTAAGCATCTTCAGCTCGGGACACTGCTCAAGATTGAAGGGCCCCTCTCTAACATCCCACAACACTTAGGAGCTCCGTGTCCTCGCAGACACCCCCTCTTTGATCTTCTGCCCTGGAAATGGGGGTGTCTTGTGCTGTGTCAACTCTCTGAGTGTCCCTCCGTGTGTTGGCCTAGAACCTGCCCCTGTAGTAAGGCAGGGTATTTCATAAGTCCCACTTCACTTGTCTGTGGCACTTGCTGTCCGATACCTGACACCTGCTGAGTGGGTCCCTTGTTCTGTACTGTCAGAGGGCAATTCCCGTAGCAATTAGTTAATTTTGGATGGAAAGTGAAGACCAGGTTCATCACTTTCCATCTCTCTTCCTGAGAGCCCAGATGTCTTGTCGTTTTCCTACAGCACCTTGACTGGGGGGCTGGTGTCAGGGGTGAGGGACCACCCACTTCATTTCCTGGGATCCTCCAGTATCAACCACGAATGAACACTAAGTAGACTGTAGGGCCTCCAAATCATTTGAATGTACTTCATTTCAATAGACGCTTGTTAAGCAGCTTACATGCTTGGGGCACTTTAGCGAAATAGTCTGGCAAGGATGAGGACAAGGTCCTTGCTCCTAAAGATCACGCAACTGGATATTCAAGTTGGCAGTAGGCAATGTACACAATGCAGAAACCAGGCACATTCCTAGACAGAGGACGCAAGGCAGATTCTTGTGGTGAATGAGAGCTTTTGAGAAAGCAGCTGTGTTTTCCAGGAGCTAGCCTGAGACACAGCCCTGAGGGATGGGGTAGGGCTTAGAGAAGAAGCTGGGGGAGGGAAGACACGTCAGCTATAAGGTCAGCCAGGCAGAGGCGTGGGAGAGGGCAGCGCAAAGGGAATATCTGGACTAGAGCCCGGGCCCCTGTTTCTCCGAGGAATGAGGTTTCCAGAAGGCTCCGGGTTGCCCCTGAGAGATGCATTAAAGCTTTAGAGTCAGGTTTGGTGGAGAGACACAACGCTGGGTGGAGAGCCTGGAAGCCCAAAGGCAGGCAGGCGACAAGAAGGAAAAAGGAGTTTTTCAGGAGAATAAGAAGTTCAGTTTTCCTGGGGTGTAACACTTACAAAACAGGAATAAAACTGATGACATTTGGAAAATAAGTTTAGGCCCCTTGTAGATTCCCCGAGAATATTCTACTTTAATTGAATAAAAGGTCAGTCATTAAAGTTTTCTTAGTTGTTTATTTGGTAACAACTACCACAATAGCCATATTCTTGTTTAAAAAAAACCTAAATATTCTATTATATTTTAAAATAAAAAACATTTACTTGATTTAACTTTTTTAAGCTTTACAAAGGCACCCCCCCCCAACATCTTCATCACATTTCTAGAACTGTCATTTCTTTCTCCGGCAGCACTTTCGGCCTCCGGTGGAGCAGCGGCCGATCTGCTCCTCCCTGGGCAGGCAGCTGAGCACGGCGCAGCGGCCCCTCCGGAGCCGGCAGTAGAACCTATGCAGTGAGTTCACGATTCCACCGTCACCTGGGCGGGAAACAGCACACAGGGGATGTCTTAGGAAGACTTAGATGCAAGTTAGGGCTCCCAAAATTCCTCAAATAACTCATCTGTTGCCTCTCTTTTATTCTTTACTTTCTTTCTTCTTTGTCCTTTTATATATGTATATATATAATATATAAAATATATTATATAATATATATATTTTATTATATATATTATATATATATAATCAACAGGAAAGTAAAGGTAGAACTAAGCCACCAATAGACAATGTTTCCATGGGCCATGCTCAGCTGGCCCAAGCCATAGTGACGTTGGGGCCGTGACGTGGTCCCTACGCCCCACCGCAGGAACAGGGAGGGCTGGGGGCTGGGGGCTGTGGGGGCCTCTGCCACAGTCAGACTTCACCACTGCACCTAGGAAAATGGGTGTCTGTGCTGCTGTGCTCAGACAAAATCAATCTTCCCTGTTGGTATTAATTTTTTTTTTAGCACTTTCTTCATGATTCATTAACAAATATAACAGTCTTCCCATGGAGAAGACAGCGAGAAACAGGTTTTGTGAGCTATTTGGTCCCTTAAGAGTGGGTCAGAAAAGACCAGGAAGCCAGCTTTAAGGTTCTCGGTGATTCCTGTTGGAAAAATATACACAGGGCTGCCCTGTTCCCACACGAGGAACTTGTGTGGTCTCGGGCTGTCTGGAGAGCGCAGAGTCTGACTCAAGTTATGTTAAAATGCTCTCCCTGCTCCCTGCCCGCCCAGCTCCCAGCCCTCCTTACCTGGGACTGGCATCAGAAACAGGGCGAGCAACCCAAATAGGAGGTAATGGACCCTCATGGCAGGCAGGCTCCACCGCGAGCTGAGACTGGACGGCAAGATGTGCTTGTTCACTTTATAAAGGTCCCAGCAGCAGGTGGAAGGAAGCAATGGCTGCAATTCTTGCAATAGTCCAGTGATGACGATATGACATATTTCCTGATGTGTCATACCAGTGCCGCTCACCACGCAGAACACACCTACTTGCACGGAGTTAGTAAGAACCTGACGGGTGAAGCAAGGGCTTTGGAAGCGTGGCTGTCCTGCCATCTTCGGGCTCCATGGCTTGCACCTGTCTGGCTCAGATCCGGTTGTGGGTTTGGATGGTAGTGGGGGAGGGGCGGCAAGACTTGTCTCCATTTAGGGATGGTCTGGAAGCATGTGGTGTGGGACTGATGTGTCTGAACTGTGGTTACTCTGAAGCTTTCTGCCTCTTCCTACAACACTGGGAGAATGAAATCCAGCTGGGGCTTACTCACATTGGTCCAAACCTGGACATATTCAGTGTCTGGAAATAGGACTTGCTTTCAGGTAGTCAGGTAAGGGAGGGAGCAAACGAACTGTCCTCAAGAGCCCCTGACCCCAGGGCCTTGACCTACCATGTGGTGCTATAGTTTCAGTAAAGCATGTCTTTCTTTTCATTATTGGAAAGCTACCAAATTTATGAATCAGGAAGCTGTTTAATTTTACTTCATTAGAAAAAGAGCGTGCTGGGCCGGTGTGTCCAGTGGACTGGCAGCTCCCCCAGCCTGCCCCTGAGCCTGCCTATCAGGGCTTCAGATGTACAGTGGAGACCTCAAGTTCTTTCCGGCCCGTGGGCATTAGAAGCAGCCCAGGGATCCGGGGATTTCCACTGGATATAGACTCAACGTTCAGAGGGCAAGCTGCTTCAAAAAAACCCAAAAAACAAAAACCACCCAAATTATTAGATTTAAAGGTTAAGGCATCTAATGAGTGGGTTATATTTGTTGACCGACTATATAACTGGGAGCTGCAGTCACTGTGATGTCGCCTGGCTGTTGCATCGTGTAGATGCAATTATAACGGAGCCACCAGGGATGCAAAGTGTGTCGGTTGCAGGAAAGCGTGTTCAGGATGCTGGTGCACCCATCACAGGTGTAAGCAAACTCCTCCTATAGGTAAGGACCAGTCCTGCGTGCTCAGTGTCGGCGGGGGCGGAGGAGTGAGGTACAAAGAGGGACACGTCCTGGTTCTTTCTCTCAAGAAGCTCCGTGTGGGTTCAGGCAGGTGGGAAAATGGTCAAATAATAAATATCACGTGCGCTCTGATAAGTGTCGTAGTAACAATTTGAGCGCAGGGCTGTGGAAATGTAGATGAAAGATACTGTGTTTCCCCGAAAATAAGACCCACCCATAAAATAAGCCCTAGCAGGATTTCTAAGCATTTGCACAATAGAAGCCCTACCCCGAAAATAAGCCCTAGTGATGGGCGTGGCTACGCAATGTATCTGCACAACCCATGCATTTCCTCGCAGAGTGGTAAGGAAGATGAGCAGCCCTTCTCATCTGCCCCATCATGACAGCTACTATCCCAGAAGTGATCGGAAAGGTGCGGGCAGCCCCATCCACAAGGTCGGCTCCCCTGTCAGGTCCCGGCCATCCTGTGCGTGCTGCAAGCTGAGGCTTTGAGGGGAAAATAACATCCCCTGAAAATAAGCCCTGGGTGTCTTCTTGAGGCAAAATAAATATAAGACGCTGTCTTATTTTTGGGGAAACCCAGTAATTCCTGCTAAGGGTGGGTGTCAATAAGCAGATTTAAGAAAACTTAGGAGCTGTAGATGCTTCTTTTCAAAATCTAACTTACCTTTTAAGTCGAGGATTTGAGATAGAGCGATTGGAGATATTTGTAAATGGAGGAAGGAGGCGAGTGTGGCTGGGAGGGGTGTTGACTTTGGAGTCTTACTGTGTCCTATGTAGGCTAAGAACACAGGGCGGGTGGGGTGTTGCAGAGGATTAGGACCAGGGCTGCAGGGCTGGAGTCACCAGGCCATCGGCTCACCAGGGATGACTTACCCTTCCAAGGGCAGGGCAGACCTCCACAGGCAAACCCTTGGTCTAACCTGTTTCTTCAAAGACTGGGAGGCATTTCTGAAACATGCCCACGATTTCATAAGAGACTGCTTGCCAGCTAATTTGGAAGCTGGGAATTGGGGATTGGGCTGTGACAATCAACCTCTTCATGTTCGGGCACCCTCCTCACTCACACGACCAATTTTGAGGAGTATTTCTGTATTTCCAGAAAACTATAAAAATAATGCATGTTTATGGTAAAGCTTCAAACAATAGAAGAAAGTGTCCTTCACTTCTCCTTTGCCTCAGGGGACCAGTGGTAACTGTGGGTGGTCCCCTTTTTGACTTATTATTATCGTGTTTCCCTGAAAATAAGCCCTACCCATAAAATAAGCCCTAGCAGGATTTCTAAGCATTTGTGCAATAGAAACCCTACCCCGAAAATAAGCCCTAGTGCTGGGCGTGGCTACGCAGCGCGTCTGCACAACCCATGCATGTTGTTGCGGAGCGGTAAAGAAGACGAGCAGCCCTTCTCATCTGCCCCATCGTGACAGCTACTATCCCAGAGGTGACCGGAAAGGTGCGGGCAGCCCCACCAACAAGGTCGGCTCCCCCTGTCAGGTCCCGGCCACCCTGTGCGTGCTGCAAGCTGAGGCTTTGAGGGGAAAATAACACATACCCTGAAAATAAGCCCTGGGGTGTCTTCTTGAGGAAAAATAAATATAAGACACTGTCTTATTTTTGGGGAAACAAGGCTTTCTTCATGTCAAAAATGTCTGTAGCCTCTGATGTGATACAGTTACATATATACTGGCTAATAAGTGAGTGAAACAATAGGAGCATGTGGAGTCTCAGCACTAACAAGAGCCCTGTCCGGCCACTTTCTGCCCGCCGGGGTTTGAGTCACAGGGCTCGGAAATGCTGACCCTGCAAACCGTTGTGCTAGACTCGCTCGGTTTTCTGGTTGTTTTGTTGGTCAACAGGAAATGCTGATTAGCTTGAGAGAGGAAGGGAGAAGGGACTTAGTTATTTGTCTTTTTTGTGTATGTCAGACTCTTTTTCTAATCATTTCTTTAAAATTCTGTTTTTAAAATATGGAACAGAGATTGGATCGATCCAAGCGTTCGGCTGCGGGGCGGAGCTGCGTGGAAGGCAAACACCATGGACCTCGGCAGTGGAGCGCAGAGAACAGTACACCTGCTGTGGAGCCCACAGAGAAAGCCCTGTGAGTTGGCGATGTGAAAAGGACTCGTAAACTGCTAATGGCCACCCACATTGCCCAGTGTGTCGCCCACGTGACTCCACGGAGGCGTAGTTAATAATATCAAGGTGGCTAATGACTGTGGCATGGGCTCCCAGCACGGAATCCAGAAAGTCAACTTTTTCCTTTACGTTGGCGTAGTCCTACAGAAGAGTCTCCTTGGGAATAAGAGCCACTTGTCCTTGGCGGCTAATTTAGAAGCTGGGGATTGGGGACTGGGCTTCAACCATCCCCAACTCCTTTGCCACCATGTCAATCTTGCCAGGGCCACAGGTGTGTAAGTCATATAGGTAAAGGCATGCACCCTCCCAATTTTACAGACGAGGAAACCGAGGCTCAGAGAGGTTGCATGGGGCACCTCAGTAACTGGCCAGGTGTTCCTGTGTCTGCCCCAGACCTCTCTCAGGCCCGCTTCTTCTGTGTTGTGTGTGTAGGGAGCTGGACACTCCCAGCACCCTGTTCCCTAGGTGCCAGACAGACTGGCCAGGGGCGGCGCTGGCAGAAGATGGGCGGGCAGGGGCTGGGGAGAAGCAAGCTCCTTCTCTTCCTGCACCTCAGCAGCTGTCTTCTCTGTGGCTCAGTTCCTACCGTGAAGCGTCTTCTCCACAGTCCCAGCCCCCACAGCAGCCTCCCCTGTGGCTTCCCCTGGGTGGTCCTGTGCAAGCCCTGAGAATATCATCTCCTTCCTGCCCTCATCCTGATAGCCCTAGGAATGGCAGCGTCTTTCTGGTGCGTGAATCTGAGGTGACTCACCATGCATTTTGTCTTCTTTGCTCTCCTGTCACCTCCTGAATCAATTTCCTGCATTCAATTCCCCCCGTTTGACATCACTAGATTCATTTGCTTCCCTTACGGGGCTCTGACTGTCTGCAAAGTCTAGCTCTAAATCATCACACTGTTAAAGTTCTGCACATTCTTCCTCCTCATGGTGACATTGCTGTGTTGTCATGGGTGAGAGTAATGCTTTGCTGCCTGCTGCCTTCTTGTGTTCCTGACCAGCATCTTGGGATTAGCGTAAAGCAGGATTTGGGCTTTACGCCCAAAGACGTTATGGAGTTGCCGGTTGCTTTGCTGTGGCTCTTTGTTTGCATGTTCTCATGATTGTGTGTGGCTTGCGTAGCGGCGACACCTGTGAGGCAACTCCTGGCAACCTGGCCTTATCTTTTATCTCTGTTATGTTTGCTTAATTATCTCTAAAAGAACATAAACAAGGAAACAGAAACAACAACAACAATAACAACAACAGCTTTCCTTGGCTGTGGAACAATAGAGTGCCTTTCCTTCCAGAAAGTTAATAAACCATCAGCCTTTGGTCTGAAACCCTCCCTGGGAGCCTTACATGTTGCCATTGTTTCAGGTCTCGCGGAGGTTTAAAAATCAACTCAGCGCCTTGCTTCACTTGCCCTGCCTGGTGCGTATCTCTTGATAACCCCTGAGCTATGACTCCAGCTGCAGACGATACTGTCCTCCCTCTAAACCCAGGTCGAGAAAGCTATGGCACAGCAGGGCACGCAGGCCAGGGGTGCGTAGGTTTATTCCACGCTGGGTCACTGAGTTGTCTGTCTCCACCGAATCTTGTGGGTGGGGACTAATACTCTATGTTATCTTCAGGCAGCAAACTTTCTTGGCATTTTTGCATCTTGCAGGCAGGAACACGCATTGCAGGCCCTTTGGCTTCCTGCAGACACCTTTGAATTGGGAGCAGTCTATCTGATACTGTGGTTCATCCACTGTACAAAGAAAGGGAGAGAGGAAATGTCAACATAAAGGCAAGAAGAGGGTGTGGGAAGAGAGGAGAAGGGGGCCGGAGGGACACAGAGGCTCTGGGCTCCAGACGAGGCAGGTCTGGGGGGCGCAGAAACTCGCGTTCCCTTGGGGGCGGGAGCGCGGAGGGGCGGAAGCACGGGGCTGGTTCAGGGAAACAGTGAATAGTCCAGTCTGGCCAAAGCCTGGCGGACAAGTGTGTGGACAAGTTTGCATCTGATTTAGCAGGTACGTGGGGGCCATGCCACCAATGCATGCAAAAACTAGGTGTAACATTTATTTATTTATTTATGAGACAGGATCTCGCTCTGTCACCCAGGCTGGAGTGCCGTGGCATCATCACAGCTCACTGTGACCTCTAGCTCCAGTAACCCTCCAGCCTCAGCCTCCCGAGTTGCCGGGAGAGAAACTGTGCATGCAGTTAAGCTGATGAACCCAGTGGTGACTCTTTCAAAAATCTGTGTGTTTTATGGACCGTTTGCACAACCTACTTGCAAATAATGCCAGTCAGTGACTCTGGGAGCGTGGCCACTGTGGGACAGGCTATCAGAGCCTGGGACAGTCACCGGGTCCCAGCCATTCTGCCCCACTGTGGTTCTCAGAGCACCTCGACTAGTCCGGAGGGAAGAGGCTTCCCCCAAGGCATCGGCCGCTTTCTCTGCCAGGACTGTGCCAGAATCCTGGTTCGAGGACCGTTGGGGAAGGTGGCAGGGTGAGACTTCTCAGTGGTCTCACACTGGCAGCCACCGAGACTCTGTTGTTGGCCAAACACCTGTCCCACCCCAGATTTCTAGTCGTCTTTTCTTAACAGGAAAGATAAACTAATTTGAAGAGACAAGGTGTTGAGTTGCACTTTGGATAAATCTGTAAGGCTGTTTTTCATGGTCCTCTGACCCCCCATGTCCTGCTTGGGCACAGTCATTCCCCCATGTGGCGAGACGGGCCCCCTAGTCCAGCGAGACTCGGTGCCACCAGTGCCACTGATGACGGGCCACGCCTACAGGACCCCACTCGCGGGGCCGGCAGAGCACGGGTGCTGCTTAGCTTTGAGAAAAGCAGCACAAACTGGCAAAGTGATGCCACGTCCATGTTCTGCACCGACTCTCCCCAGAGAGCTCCTCCCGGCTCTTCCAGAGACAGCCACCCCCCGCAGTCACCCTCTCCCACTTCCGTTCATGGGCCACCACGCTTACCCCATGTGGCCTGGGAGAGTGCCACAAGAAGAGCAAGAAAGACGGAGAGAAACCGCATGGTGCAATTGAACCTCTGAGGATCCCTGGAGAGCGGAGTCAGAAGACCGTGTTGTCTCCGGTGCTGGTCACTTAGATGGCGCCTACTGTGTGCAGTGCTGGAAGAAAAGGAAACAGATCACTGAAGCTGGAAGGGAATAGCTTCACTGCGTTTGCTGAATGAGCATTCGTATCACATTCAGGCTGGGGCTTGGAGGGTAGACTCTTTCCCTTGCGGATACAATCGAGTTGACTCCTGCCAGAAAGAAAACAAAACAAAACAAAACTTTCCTTAATGAATGCAGCTTTTTTCTATTTCTTTTTTTTTTTTTTTGGTCTATTACCTATATTTCTTTGGGGACCTAGAAGATCTTGAAGGTATCCCTCTCAAGGAAGGAAACAAGGAAACACTTGGATAGTTCAGAAAGCATAATTTAAAGATGAAAAAGACATACATCTGGCTCTAAAAATCAATTCTTTGTTTCACTGTTCTCTGGAGGGCCAGGCTTCGGGGCCAAAGTTAAAGGCAGATCAGTGTCAAGACTCGCTGTCGCTGGGAACAGGCAGCGTGGGCTCCAGAGCTGCGACCTCTCCTGACAGCATGAGAAAAGACAGAGTGTGCAGCCAGAGCCAGCCCCCTGGGAAGCAGGGTCCCCCAGGCGGGCGGTCCCCTCGTGGGTGGTGTCTGCAGTGCAGGAAGCTAGGGGCAGCCCGAGGGCCAGCGAGACATGCGCTGGAGCTCCCAGAGGAGCACAGGCTGAGTCTGAACAGGGACAGGTGTTCCCAACCAGGAGACGTGCCCTGCGAGGCCCCGCCTCTGCAGGGAAGCGTGCGGGGCCCCAGGCCCAGGCTCACTCGGAGCAGTGCACCACCTGCGTTTCCCGAGCTGCCCTTGCCACGTGGTTCACCTTAATGCGAGTGGAAGCGGCGGGACCAGCTCTCTCCCCATTGTGGTTCCATGTTCCCGTCTCTCCCTCAAATTTTTATTGTTTCCACCTGTTCTTGTCTTTTCCCTTCTCGCTTCAGAGGGAGCTCTCCCCTCCCTGCCCGTTTCCTTCCGCGTGGGGGTGCAGCGCTGTGCGCCCTGCAGCGCCGATGCCCTCCTGGTCCTGCGGGTCGCTCTCCCGCCCACGAGTATAACAGCATCATAACAATAATGATGGCGATGGTGACTATTTCCCCCTCTCCCTCATCATCATCACAGCTGACATTTGTTGGGCATGCACTATGCTCTGGACACTGTACTGGGCAATTTATGTGCATTTATTTCCTTTGAATCATGCAATAATTCCAGCATGTTGATACGCTTTTCCGCACTTCGCAGAGGAGGAAACAGACTGAGCGGCTGTATAAGGCACCCAGGCTACTAACTTCGCACCACATTCTTACTCCTGCGTCTCTTCCTGCTGCACATGACCCTCGAACGAGGTTATCTGCCCCTCTGTGCTGATGCCTTCCATGTGCGTCATCTGTAGTCTCCACCACTTGCCCCATTTTCCCGGCTGAGCTGTGTGTCCATTATCATCGCGATAGCTCCTTGCACCTCACCCTCACCCCAGCTTGTATTCACGTCTTCCCCCTTTCTGTAGATATCACTTCCATTTCCCAAACTGCTTGGCAACAGAGGCTGGGAACCAGCTTCTTTCCCACTCTTCTCTTTTCCTAACTGCTCAGATACAGCCACTCACTGTGTCCGGCCAGTTACTGCCACACGGTTTGCACAGTCGGCAGCCCATGCACCAGCCCCGCCTGGTCCAGCACCCCAGTGGAGAGTGACCCCTCCTTGCGCGGCATCTGTGCAGAGCGTGTCAGCACCACACGCTTGGAGCATTTGCCAAATTCCATGACAAATGCCGTGTACCTTCTGTGTGCACGTTTCTTACCATCTTTAATGGATGGTGTCTTTTCATTTGTGTCTTTATGCTAACGAGAAAATAGACACTCAAGCCCTGTGTTGCTTTTCACCCTTTGAATAATAGGAAATATTTTCGAACTCCTGACCTTGAGCAATCTGCCCGCCTCGGCGTCCTAAAGTGCTAGGATTACAGGTGTGAGCCACTGCGCCTGGCCCTGGAGTCTCACTTTGTTGCCCGGGCTAGAGTGCAGTGGCGTCAGCCTCGCTCACAGCAACCTCAAACTCCTGGGCTCAAGTGATCCTCCTGCCTCAGCCTCCTGAGTAGCTGGAACTACAGGCATGCGCCACCATGCCCAGCTAATTTTTACCTACATATTTTTAGTTGTTCAAGTAATTTATTTCTATTTTTAGTAGAGACAGGGTCTCGCTCTTGCTCAGGCTGGTCTCGAACTCCTGAGCTCAAACAATCCACTCGCCTTGGCCTTCCTGAGTGTTGGGATTACAGGCGTGAGCCATCGCGCCCGGCCCTAAATAGGAAATATTTTAAAACTAGGATGTTTAGGACAAATATCATGGAGAAGAAAAAAATCATTCCAGAAGATCAAGGAAGTGGAGAGAACATCGGCAGGTAATGCAAGGACAACAGAGTTTATAACAGGAGGTCGATGTGGAAGAGTTTATGTTTTAACAAAACATTCACAGTGGGTTCTATATAGAGGATGTATTGGAGGCTCAGGAGACTAAAGGCCGAGAGACTAAGAGAGAACGCAGGGCTGCTGTGTTTCCAGGGTGATAGGAGGCAAAGTCAGACTGGAGCATGAGAGCCACCGAGTGAGCACGAGAGAGGGAGGTAGGCGAGGACGCAGGCCCAGTAGCTGCCGGTGTTCTACTCGGGATGGGCAGACAGTGATCTCACTAATGAAGATATTAAAAGTGGTGATGTCGGCCGGGCGAGGTGGCTCACGCCTGTAATCCTAGCACTCTGGGGGGCCGAGGCCAGAGGATCGCTGAAGGTCAGGAGTTAGAGACCAGCCTGAGTAAGAGCGAGACCCCGTCTCTACTAAAAGTAGAAAGAAATTAATTGGCCAACTAAAGCTATATAAAAAAACTTAGCTGGGCATGGTGGCACATGCCTGTAGTCCCAGCTACTCGGGAGGCTGAGGCAGGAGGATCGCTTGAGCCCAGGAGTTTGAGGTTGCTATGAGCTCGGCTGACACCACGGCACTCTAGCCCGGGCAACAGAGTGAGATCTGTCTCAAAATAAATAAATAAATAAATAAATAAATAAATAAATAAATAAATAAGTGGCCATGCCAGTGGGAGCTCAGGGAGACATGGACCAGAGAGAGAGAAAAAACAGGCTTATATTTGGCACTTTTTAAAAGGGTCAAATTAGTTCAGGAACGTGGAGGCTCAGTGGCCATGGGGAGCTGCATGCCTTTCCTGGACTTTCTAGAATCACACCCCAAAAGGGGGGCGCTGACTTTACTGACTCCGAAGGACAAAATCAAGAAGGGGATAAGTATGCAGACAATCATACAAGGCTGCCCTGAAGACACTTTCCCACCCACTTGCCACACTTGCCAGCGATAGATATTTGCATTCCAAGCAGAACGAAGCGCACAGTGATGCCTTCCCTTCCGTTCGCACTGTGAGGCTCTAATCAGACCCTAAAGTCCCATCCGTGCCCTTCCGGCGAGAACTCGCCATGCAGAGGTCTTGCCAGCAGCCCAGGCAGTCTGCTGGCTGCATCCCTGGGCAGGGCTTTCAGGCTGCAGTGGCTCTTACAGAACAATCATGAGGTCAGCTCATCAATGGGCTGGGAGCTGGGGCGGGGAGGTGATGTGTCCAAGAGCAAGAGGTGAGACCCCAGGGAGACGTTTCTGTAAATAGGGCTCCTGCCACTATCATTTAGTCAGAACTGGTCACTGAAAGGAAACTGTCAGCTGATGCTGCCATAGGCAATGGGGAATTTTACACATAATGGCCAGCATCTATAGAGATATTGTGACATACACAGCACCGTAGTTGATGTTTTAATGCATTTTTCCAGCAAAAAACAGCATGAGGCCAGTATTAGAACTTGCATCTTAAGAATAAGGAAAATGAATAGAAGAGAAGAGAAAGAACTTTCGAAAATTCAAATTTGGAGCCCAGGACAATCAGTCTGAGAGATTGTGCTAAAAAGCCACTCTGTCACCTAAGGTTATTACAAATATGAACATGTGTTATATCCACCTGTTTGTTGAAGGTTTGGGGAGTGGGGTTTTCCCGTGGAAAGTGAGAGACTGTATGTGGTGGAGAATGAAGGGGACGGGACCTGGAATGGAAGCCACACGTCACTCACTCGACCCAGGTCGCAGAGCTACTTCTGTGGCCTGTTAGGGACCAAGCTGCAGAGCTCCACGGCACCCCTCCCCACGTCCCCTCCCATCGTCCACTCCCTGGTTTGTGGAAAAACTGTCTTCCATGAAACCAGTCCCTGGTGCCAAAATGTTGGGACCACTGCTGTACTGCACCACAGTGTCCGGGTTCCTGACTCTCTCTCACTGGCCAGGGCTCTAGGGAGCCACTTGAACGATGCTTGACCTTATTTTGGGGTCTTCCCTAAAGCAGAGAAAATATATTCTTTACCGTCTCATTGTGTCTTGGGCCCAGGACACCGGCCACCTGTTGGCTCAATGTGCCCTTTGTGAAACGCTCCTGTGTCTAGGATCTAAAGCGGGTTCTGCTGCGTGGACTTCGGGGAATCCCAGCTCAGAGCCTGGGCAGGACACACATTTGGTTTGCTATACTCTTACCTTCTCCTGTCTCTCTGCCTCACAGCTGTGGCCCCGTTTATCCCTCCCCCCACCTTTGCAGAAAAACACAAACTCACTTCCGTGCGTCTCAAAATGGTGCATCTCCTGTAAGTTAGGCTGTGTGTACCTCACTCCACCCTGTGCAACAGCAAGCCAAAAATGTGTCAGTTATTCTTCAAAAGATACTGGAATCTCCTCTCCTGCTTTTTGGAGGTGGAAGGGTCTGGGCGTAGAAATCCGTGCCACTAATCCCCTCTTCGCAGGCTCTGTCCTGTCTCACAGGCAGGGGTACATTGGAATTCCCTGGGATTTCTCCATACTTAAGGGACAACATCTTCCAAAGGGAAAAGACTTCCCCTAAGAGATCTATGTTTATTTCTATATGGGCTCTTCAGCCACATAAATAAGAGAGGTGTTTATTTCCCTCACCTGCATTTTCTTTGTTCTTGTCCAAAGGTCCCAACTTCTGCTCACCTTTCCTCACCTTTTCCAGGAAGTCAAAGCCGTTTAACTGGATCCTGACTGGAAGAATCCAGCTTCAACACCTCCCGAGGTACAGAGAGAGGGTGACAGTTGCCTGAATTATCCCAGCAGGCATGAGGCGGAGCAGGAAAGAAACCAAATGCAAACTGCGCTGAACAATGAGATTCTAACTCTTGGTAAATGAGAAGCTTCTTAGTAATCAGGGAAATATTTCCTTCCTGGCTTTGGGTTAGGACTGGACAGTCCTCAACACCTAACACCTGTCCCAGGGAGTGGTAGGAATGCTCCACCTCACAGGTGCGTGAGCCGAGGAAACAGGCTCGTCTGCACTTATCCTGGTGAGTGTGCCTGTGTGTGTGGCGGGGAGGGCCTGGGGGTGCACCTGAGCCCTCCCTGGACCCGGGGCCTCGGAGAGCCCAGCCCCTCCAGCCTGGCGTTCTCCAGAGCTCGGGCATCAGCAGACACCAGGGCTGACCTGCCGCGGCTCCAGCCGTTCGGTTAAATAGAAAGAGGAGCTGGACCGACGCAGCGGCATCCTCACTGATGGGTGGGGGTCCCAAGAGTGGAGGAGGGACGGAGAGTGGATGAGGGAGGACAACCTGGAGCACACACAGGGCCACTGGGGAAAGACTGGCTTTTTAAACAGCCTCAGCAAAGAGACCTTTCTTTTGGAATCCAGAGAAAGCATACATTTGCCAGACTTTGACATTTTCACCCTTCTCTGATGAAATCTCCGGAAACTTCAGTAAAATGTGCTGTTTGTCCTGGACGGGCCTGTGTGGGTGTGTGAGGGAGTTTGGGGGAGCCATGGCCGAGGCAGGTCATTGTGGTCCTGGGGAGGAGACACCACCATGTGGCATGGAAGTGACCACAGCAGAGTCTCCCCTGGTAGGGGGAGACAAGTGTGACCCAGGAGCCGAGCACATTGTCCAGGAGAGCCGGGACTCTGCCCTGGGTGATGGTCTCAGCTCTGGTGCGTGGACACTGTCATCAGGAGCCTTAGCAAAGACCGCCACGGGTCCACCCAGGCAGGGAGGCCAGATCCCCGCAGGAGGCACCTTGGCATGACATGTAGCTTTCCAAAGCTGCAGGGATGGGACTGAGAACCACGGGAGCGGAGGGAGACGGCTCCTTCAGGTGAGGACACTCCTCCGGCTCAGGGACACAAACCCGGCCGGCTGGCTGGTCACCGCCTCTGCACCCCGAGCTCCTCCTTGCAACCCCACGGCGATACCAGCAAAGTGAAACTCAAAGCCTTTCCAGTTCCCTCGCCTGTGCTCCCCCGTGACGTGGCCACGCCCAGCGCCAGACACCCGGTCCTGCGAGCCACCCTGACGCTGCGGTCGTCTGCTCCGCGGTGGGATTCCAGGGGGCCCGGCGGCTTCCCAGTGCTGGGAAAGGACGGGCCCTCGCTGTGTCTCACAGTGGGAATTTGCATTCCTCATGCCTTGACTGCCCTCCCTGTAATCCCAGTCACGCTGGAGTCTGGGGGCTGTCCTGGCCTGGAGGGAGGACACGTGAGTCCAGTGGAAGGAATCGGATAGGGAGCGAGGAGAGGATGGAGACGCCCAGTGAGGTAGAAATGCTCCCTTCTCAGCTGTAGCGTTTTCCCTGTTGCCAGGGGCTGGCTGACACCCTGGGGAGTCTGAGGGTCCCTTGTTCGCTGGCTGCTAGCTGGACACCCCTCTGCTGTCCACCTCCTGGCCCCCTAGCCCATGCTTCCCTCCACAGGTGCCCCCACCCCTGCTCTGGGCACTGAGCTGGCCGCCATGGGGCAGCGAGGACAGAGACCCCTTGGCCCTCCCTCACTGGGGATCTGGGCTAGGTCACCCTTCCCCGTGCAGCCAGCGGGCTCGTTTGTAACTTCCCTCCTTCATGTCTTTCTTCTTCCCTCCCCCGCTTTCTTCCTTCTTGCCACAAATATGAAGTAGACTCAGAGCTAAACGTCCAAGGAAGATCGGTGCCCAGGGTGCAGGCTCTGGGTGGTGCCAGAGTGTCGGGACAGCAGACAGGGTTGGGCGGCCGCAGGGTGACAGGTGCCAGCTCCAGGTGGGGCTGGCTGGGAAGGAGGCACAGGAGGGCCAGAGCCACCTGCCGGCCTCAGCGTCACTTCCCGGAGAAAGTGCCGAGACCAGGAGGGGGAGGAGGGGGAACGCGGGAAACATGCCCTGCACAGGACACTGAAAGCATAAAATCCGGGAAACAGATGAGCAGGTGAGTTCAGGAATTTAATGCTCTTTGGCGGTTGGAGATTAACAGGGTTACCGTTTTGCTGGGAAGTTTAGCAGGGGCTTCCCTGTGAGGGTCTAGACAGGCGTCCTAAAACTGGGGCATGGGCCACATGCAGGTGTTTTTGCCCATTTGTTTTTTTACTTCAAAATAAGATATGTGCAGTGTGCATAGGAATTTGTTCATAGTTTTTTTAAACTATAGTTCTGCCCTCCAACGGTCTGAGGGACAGTGAACTGGGCCCCTGTTTAAAAAGTTCGAGGACCACTGGTCTAGGAGGTGCTGTCAGGAGGTCTGGGGCAGTGAGGGGGTCAGATCGGGCTCCAGGATGCTCAGGCCAGGCCAAGCGTCAGGGAGACTCCTGCCTCTCGGTGTCACTCAGTTTTGCTCTTAGGCCAAAGCTGGCTGCGGGATCCCTGCCGAGGGGCTGGCTGGGGCATGGCTCTGCCTGCCAGGCCGCCCACCTCCCACCTGCTCTGGGAGCCGGCGCTGACCCCATGGAGCTGAGCCAGCCTCATCTCGTGAACGGTTCCCTCCTACTTTTCCGCGCTTTGTGTATCGGGGAGCCTGTGGCCCCTCCGGGCCACGGGAGCCCCCGGCTCTCACACCTGAGCCCGACGCTTCTGCACCCTGTGGCCCGTGTCGGGGAGACGTATCACTCAGGAGTCCTGAGATCTGCGGCAATTCAAGGCCTCGATCACGGGCTTACATCAGAAGGTCTGTGCCTGCAGCTTCTTCCAGGTTTTAAGCAAAGAAATGTAAATGACAGGTTCAAACCTGTCCTCAGAATGTCACGCAGCAGCAGGGGAAGCCTACTCATGCCAGCACGGAACCAAGGGTGGAGACTTTGAAGGTGCAGACGTCACTGCCAGCTGCCTCCGAGCCAGGCTCTGACACAGGCGAACGTCCCCGCTTCCGGGACCGTCTCATGAGACCCCTCTGCCTCCTTCCTTCCAGGACTGGCAGGGTCCCCTACCTTAGTCTCAGGGCAGCTCTTCAATGCCTTCAGGTGGCTTTCCAGAGCACTGTAGCAGCAAAAAGCACAAAATTTATTTCTTGCCTTGCCCTCATCCAGGAATGAGACTTGGCAGGAACCCCACATTCCTTTCACATATTTCCAGCGAAAGGAGGAGAAGAACAGGCAGATTCCAGCCCCTTTTTGCTACTCTGTTAGCTGCCCTGGGCAGGTTTTCAACCTGGGTAAGTTTCCACTTCCTTGCCTCTAAAATGTAGACAGCACTACACACCTCACTGCAGACCATGTGTGTAATGTGAAAAGCAATTTGAAATACGTGGTCTCCTAACCTTGTGAACACAGTGACCCTCACCATCACTCTTTGTTAGGAAACAGGGACCCAGCAGGGACATGGTGAGTGAGGACCTCACCTCTGATGTTTCACGGAGCAGGGAAAGCGGGCCAGGCCGGGCCGTCCGGGTCCACCGCTGACTTGCCATGTGACCGCAGGCAAACCTCTTGAGCCTTAAGAAAGACATAGTAGAAGTCTCTGCTGACGCCCTGGCAGACAGGAGCGGAGCCTCTTACGTAGAAGCTGTGCGGCTCTGGGTGAGTGACCTCGCGTCTCTGAGCCTTAGGTGTCCACCTGTGTTCTGGGCGTCTTCATGCCATTCCATAGGTAAGCTGAGATACATGCATGGGGAATGCTGAGCACAGGGCTGGAGTGGAGACAGCATTCAGTAGGTACCAGGTAGCTGGTAGAGGTGGTGGTGCTGGCAGAGTTTCTGAGCATGCTCAGGGCCCTGGGAGTTTAGTGCCTGAATTCACCCACACCTGGGTGCTGGGCAGACTAGTGCGAGCTCTGCCTCACCTGGGCTCTGTGCCATGCCAATGATCCTAGAGCATCCCAGCCCCCGCCCTGTCCAGTCTGCACCGCCCACATGGGCCACATGCTCCACGTGAGACCACATGAGCGGGGAGAGTGGACGAGGGCTCTGTCCCCCGTTCTGGCCGGATTTTAGAGGCGAGAGCCCCAGGGGGAGAGGGGTGGCTGAGATGAGAAGAGGAAGGGGACAGAGAAACCCGGCGTTGTGAGAGAAAAGACTAGATACAGACTTCAGGCCTTGACGACGGTGCAGCCACAGTCACTGTGCCCTGTCCCGGGGTTCCTGGTGACACCCCTCTAGCCCTTGGACCAGAAAGCACAGCAGCAGTGCCCTGGAGACCTGTGATGGAGCCTTGGATCCATTGATTCCTTCCTTTCTCTATGTCATGGCCACTGTTCCTGGCTGCTTACCGAGTATTTATCTGCACCAGACCTGTCCGAGAGTTCAAAACCCAGCGGGAGGCACAGGCACATGAGTAAACAGTAGCAGAGGAGTGACCACCTGTGACAGCACGCACCCAGGGCCCGGGGGCACAGGCACAGAGCAGGCACTTCTCTGCGCAGGGTCCCGGGGAGAGGGCCATGAGGCTTTGCAGTGGAGGTGACATCTGAGCCAGTTTGAGTAGGGGGAGGGAACAGCTCTGCTACAATGACTGCATCATCTTGGGAAGCTGGGTCCCTCAAGGTACAGAGGGGATCATTGCACCTAGAAGAAAGAGCCGTGTGGAAAGTGTGCAGATTTGCCACGTGGAGCACACTGGGCCCCAACTGGGCCAGGCTGGGGCTCCAGACCACCACCAAGAGCCTCCTTGCCCCTCCTGAGGTGGACAGAGGGTCCGTGCACCTCCAAGCGCCAGTCCCGCCGAGAGAAGCAGCTTGCAGAGTCTCCCCAGCATCTCCTCCCGGCTGCCCCGACCGCGTGCTGACGTTGCCTCAGAGCAAGGACAGGGCAGGGCCAGCAAATGCCCAGGTTGACACCAGACCCGGGGCAGAGGCAGGGAGGAGAGCAGACACTGCCTTCTGTGCGTCTGCCTGCTTAGGGTCACGCTCGAGCCTCTCCTGTAACTCCCCGGGCACAGAGTCCACAGAGCACACCAAGGGACAGGGCGGGGTTAGGTAGAGCCCACAGAGCCCACTCCGAGGCGCCTGCTCTTCTGCCCGGAGCTGCCTCCTGGCCACCCAGGTGCCCAGCGCCGGCCACCCTGGGCCACAACTCCAGAAGGCAGGTGGCAGATGCAGGCAGCCTCGATGTTCGCCGTCCACAGCTCTGTGTGCGCTGCTGGCCCAGCCCCACTCTCGGATGGGACATGCACAGTGATGCTTTTGCAAACATCTTCATCCGCTCAGTCTGAACTGAGTTCAATTCATTTTTCCCCAAACCTATAGTGAATGGTTACTCTGTTCAGGGCAGGGAGGGATGGGACACCGTGTCAGTGCTGAGGAATCCAGGCCCAAAGTAGTAATCCCTGGCTCCAGCGGCCACTTTCCTTGGCCAGTTGCACCGGCTCCAAACTGCCTCCAAACCGGCTTCCCACCTGGTGGCAGGAGGAAGCCGCAGGCATCGACGGTTGCGGCGCGCCCTCTCGTGGTCAGTGTTGGTATTGATGGGTGGCCCCTCTTGGTCAAGGTATTTTTCAGGCTTTGAAAAATAAATAGCATTTCAGAGAAATCTCACATTAGAGGAAGATAACATTTTTCACAACGGAGACCATACCAGGCCCAGTTTCCACCTTGAAAATGTTAGACAACCCAGCTTAAGGCCGCTTGAAAATCCCCTGTTGGCCAGTCCTGGGCTCTGCCCAGGGTTCCTTAAGAGATCCTCATGTGACAAGTTCATGGGACGGGATGGACCCTTCGCCTCACCTGGCAGAGAGCTCAGGCCACCGCTTCCTGTTATTTTCCAGTCCTGGTGAGCAGATCTGTCGCTGGAGTGATGGCACTCCCTGCTGAGAACCTCCTCCCACCCTGAGGCGCCGGCATTTGCTGTGCTTCCCACGGGAGCACAGGCTGAGCAGAGGCCAGAGCACTCCCAGGCAGGTGCTTACTCCAGCCAGGTTTGGAGCACGTGCTCTGCCCCGGGGGCACGAGAGCGGGCTCTACAGTGATGCCTGTGCTGCGGAGACGTCCCCTCTGTGCAGTCCCAGGGGTCTGACTATATTTAGAAAATAAAAAATGAGAGTGGATTTAGAAGAGGCTGGGGAGAGGCCAAAGGCATGATGCCAAATATGTACTGCAACCTCAGCTGGGAATCGCAGACGGGAACTCCGAAGTGTATATTCTAGGTGACTCTTAAAAAGCAGGTTCAGCTTCTTCAGGAGCAAACTGGATTCAGGCAGCCAACAGAAATATGAAAACAAAGTATCTTATCAAGCCATCTGTTAGTCTAGAGAAAGCTTGGCACATGGTCTCTTCTATGTCAGCACATTTATTATTTTTTACATTTCTTATCTGTAATTAATATGCACTATGCTTGGGATGACTGGCTCAACAAACTTGAGCAAGATCCAGAGAAAAGTAAGGAGGAAAAGGGTGTTGATCACTAAGGAATCTTCATGAACGATGACTCTACCTTGCTTCAGTTGCTCAGAAATATGTTCTTTAGAAGTAACGTGGAAGAGTGAACACTCGATTGATTAGGCATGCCAGAGTCCCACGTAGGAATGGCATGGTTAACCTCATGATTTTCATTTTCCTTCCACCCCTAAAACGGACCTGTTCATGCCTTATTATTACACACTCCGTAAGACTGTTACTAATCAGCGCTTAGATAATCTAAGAGCAAAGTTTGATAACAATACAATCCTATCAAAATGTGATCTGTTGGTGTTATTCCTTGAGGAGGCTCCGGAAAACGTACCCTAAGGTTTGTCACAGTCTGGGTGAATAAGCAGGAGAAGGCGAGTGCCCGGTGTGACAAGATATCACTAGGTGGAAAAGAGACTTGCAGATCGGTTTCATTTCTGTCCCTCTGAAACTAAGTTTATAGCTCAGTTTCTAGTCTATCAGCATCCCTGGATAGGTAAGAGATAGTCCCTGGAATAGGAAAAGAAAGTGGAACTTTACAAAATTCTGGGAAGCCTTGAAATAAAAAACAAAACAAAACACAAAATGGCAAGAAAAGGAAGCTTTTAAGAAAATTCTTTCATCAGACCTTCACCTTGGGTGCTAGATTCATTCAACAAACATTTATTGAGCACCGCCGCCAACAAGCCACACATTTCCTCAAGCCAGCCCTCGGAATACTTCAAATCTCTGCCTTCCAGGAGCATACGTCTTAGATCCCAGGTCTGCCAACCATCTCTGGCGTCTCTCTTTCTCCTTCCTGTCTGTGTGGCACGCAGCACCTATTCCAGGGATCGGAGCAAATGTCACCCTTTTTCTCACCAGAATAGCAGAAAAAAAGCCTGCAGGTCCCATGTTGCATGAGGCAGATTGTATTTCTAATTCCAGGTGGAATATCCCCTACAGATGCAACAGAACAGAGTGATCTTTAATTCGCAGAGTGCAGAAAATAAAGAACGGCCCCAGCCTGCAGCCCGACTCCAAATGTTTACTATCTTCTTACAAAGCTAAGTCTCTTTGGACAAATCCCAACTTAACTGAGCTTTAGTTTCTTAGCTTTAAGACTCAAACAATTAATTTCTATGTCAAAACATTTTGCCAGGAGGACCCCATCGTGAGCCGCCCCCAAGATCACCTGGCCATGCAGGTGATCCGAGCAGCCCATGCAGCCCTAAAGGTCTGAGGCCAGCTTCTCCAGCTCTGCGGCGAGAGATGTGCATGAAGGGAAAGCGGAGGGAGCTCTGCAGACCAAAATGGAATGGTAGGGGCGGGGCTTGGTCTCTAGGCAAATTGGAAATAGTTCTGATTCTCAGCGTACGGCCCAATCTTTAATTTTATGCCCTACAGTGAAAAAGGGGACAATAAAAGCCCTCTCCCCACCAGGACCTGTGTGCTTGTAAATCCGATCTGACCACAACCACCTGAAGTTCCCATGAGGAAAGAGCTTTGGACAGGAGATGGTTGAAAGAGAGGTCTCAAATGCCATGAGCCTCAACTTCAACAACAACAACACTACAGTGTTGATGTTGTGTGATTATAAAAACAGTCTTGCACAATAGCCCAGCTCTGAAAGGGGCCCACACTAATGATCCTGTGTCATTTCATCCCTGCCATGGCTCAGCGAGTACGGCAAAATGAACAAGTGGGTCCACCTCTACTTTAGCAAAGATAGAGGAGTCGCCAGCCTAGAAGTCTGGAGATCTGGATTCTAGCATTCCTTCTTCCAACAACTCATTTTCCCTCCTTGGATTATTTAACTGGTTATGCCTCAGTGTTCTCATCTGTGAAATAGGTTATCTGTGCAAGGTGGGGAAATATTAAAAGTGTGGACATCTACTATGATCCTAATTACTCATTGCCTAGCAGTTTATTAGCACTTTCTCTGGACTGCGGTTTTCCCCTGGTGGAGCGTGGGCTGCTGTGGAAGGTCTCTGATTCCCATCCAGCTCTGATCCTTGTGTGACTGTAACTTCCTTCTGGAAACCTTTCCCAGACTGCAGATTGCAGTGAATGCTTCTGATGCCCCTTTGACCTATGCTACGACTCTGACAACTCTCATTAAGCTTTTACAGACTCTTCATGGGGGAGATCGAAATGTCCCAGAGCCGAGCCCCAGAGAGGCCACCTATGCCAGCTAACAACACACAGACACAGCTGCACGCTGTCCACGCACTGACACGCACACGAGCAGGATTCCCGCACCCCCTCCCCAGGGCCGATCACAAGACATTTACCTGAGTTGGTTTGGACCACACAGAAGAGAACAGCGAAAAGAAAGAGGACCCTCATCCTTTCAGGTCCCCTCAGATCTCCCCGTCCTCCTGTGGAGGAGAGCGAGTCTGATGAGTGACAGAATGAAGTGGGGCGGAAAAGGCACAAAACGGAACATTTATAGGTTTTGGACACTAATCCGAAATGAGCACATTTCTCTGCTCTACTGAATAAGGCTGTGGGCAGAAAGTACTGACCACTCTTCCCTTTCTGCCTAAAAATAGACAGGCTTCTTGGTGTCCGGAGAAGCATGGACAGGCCCACAGCTGTCTGGAGGTTGGAGAGGAAAGCGGAGCGGCCGTGTAGCGGGGACCGGCACGGGGTGACGGTGAAGCAGTTGTGTAAAGACATGCTCCTTGCCTGAAGGGGGTTTTTGGTTGGGCAGCATCCACTGCAGTTGAGCAGATGACCAGGCAAATGACTCCCAAGAGTCTGTCTACTCTACAGAAACGGAGGCCCCTGTGCACCAAGAGGTAGTTGCACGAGAAGGTTCACTGTGGCATCATTCACTGCAGGCAACAGAACACAGCCCAGATAGCGTGTTATGGCAGTGATAAAACAAGTGGTGCATTTCCACAAAGCAACAAAAATAGGAAAAAAACAACTATGCATGCATACAGCACCATGGATGAACCCCCCAAAATTATGCTGGGTGAAAAAAAAACCCAAATGCAACATACTATATTATTCTAAAAATTTAATGGAACGGACCTATGTGTTCATTAAATGCTGAGATGTTGTTTGTTTTGGGGGAAGAGGGCAGATTCTTCTCTCATTGGACAAAGCTTCCGCCCCTTGAAGGTTTGGCAGTCTAGTGGGGGGTGCAGGGAGCCCCTAAGACCACAGCTGGGACACTGCTTCACCAGCACAGCACAGAGACCCCCAAGAGCGGGCACATGGGGCTCGTCCCCATAGGAAGGGGCCGCCAGAGCAGAGTCTGCAAGGACAAGGTTTGTACAATGGGCGATGCTCAAACACACAGTGGAAGCAGCTGTACATGCAGCCCCTACCTGATTTTAATCCCCGGCTCACGTAGATTTATTTCTCTTAAAAGTCTCTTGATACCAAGGGGAAAGGAAAAGCAAGTCTTCTTCCCATTTTGTCCCCAGGCCTATGTGACAATGGCTACTAGTCGCCGATTAATTTTCCCAGAGCATTCCCATGTGTACGGGGGCATCTAGGAATCTACACCCCCATTTTATGTAAACGATAATAGACTTTACATGGACTTGCCTTTTTTATTTGGTGTACCTTGGAGAGCCTTCCAAGTACGAACGTGGAGAACTTTGTCATCCTTCATAGCAGCTTCACTGTGTTTCTTGCAGGTTGTCTTCTGCCTCATTTAACTGGTCTGCCACAACCATCTTTCGATGGTGAGTTTGCTTTAGAAAGGTGGATTTTGAAGAAGAGATGTCAGATAGCGGCCCTAGACCTTCTGCATGGGGGAACAGCGTGAGGGTCCAAAGAGGTAGGGCCACGTGCTCATTCCAAAGTTTCCAAGTCTGGAAAGATTAAGCAAAGGCAGTGGGTCCTGCCCAAGGGCACTTGGGGCCTCCTTCACGACCTCTCCTAGGGCTCTCTGAGTCCCGCCTTACCACTGCTTAATACAAGTCACTAAGGACACTCCCTTCCTAACAGCCATCAGCAACGCTTCTGAGGGCTGCTCTCCATGGTCCAGACAGGCTAGAAAGCCACCGTCTGGGCTCTGGGAAGCTGTGCTTCCTGGTCAGTGGGCTGCTCTTCCTTCTCGGGTTCTCACCAACAGGAGAAAGTCCCAGAAGAATCTCCACTTCAGGCACTAATCTGCCCTCCCAGGTAACCCTAGTCCTCTTCTCCAATGCTCAGGGACATGAGAAAAGAGCAGGGAAGGACACACTAGCAGTCTTCATTGCCTGGCATGCTGGGCTCTGCACTGGGAGGTGCTTTGTGTAATTTTAAAAATTGAGAAAACACTTCAACAGTGAAGTAATAAAATATTAATTAAATTACAAAAAAAAAATAAAAAAAAAGCACCAAAAAAAACCCAAAGGGCACTTGGACTCACAGACCTTTCTGTGCCTTGTGAAAGCCTCTTTAATAACAGGACCATAGGGGAAATGGGTTGGCCACTATGGGCTGCTTTTGTCCCTCTGCCAAAAAGTATGAAACTAAATAAACAAAAAGGTTGCCCTCAATGGTACCCACGAACTAAGTATTATAACTGTAAAATAGACATGAAGATGTAAGTGCGTATGGGAGGATCAAGCTCAGTAAACAATAAATCTATTAAAATTTGAAATTCTCTGTGGAGCATTTGTTCTGAAGACATCTCTGAAATCTCCCATTTTTAAAAAGGCATGTGCCGTTTTATTTGACCCTTAGGAAAGTTGGCTTCTGTGCTAAGATCTCACTGTAAGTTAAAGAAGTCCAGCAAATAACTATAGTTCTGAGTGTATCCTGTGCATGGGCAAAGTGTATCTTAGAAACATAAGAATTACTGCTTGATAAAACACTAGAGTGTAATGATACATGTCCAAACGTAGAGGTCATTTTTAAAAAGTCACCTTTTAAAGATGACTTATAGATGAGATAATAAAATGCCTATTTTATACTTTACATTCATTCTTTCTGTTTATACCATACCTTATTTGGAAAGATTTTTAAGGTAAAGGTGAATTATATATTTTTTATAGTAGTATAGCCACTAATCAAATCGTAGTGAAATTATAGTTTAGAAAGTTTCTGCATAGTTTTGAAACTGAATGAGCTCTGTTGGAAAATCAACTCATTTGGAGGAGAAATAAATGACTAGTATCACATTTTATCACCCATCTTCTCCTTTAGGCATGAGTCTATTTCCAAGTCACAGATACAGAAAGCAATCCCCAAGGAAGAATTTTACAAATAGTTCTGGAGAATAAAGCATATCATTCAAAATAAGAGAAACTAGAAAATCAAGCTCATTGACTAATTTCATTACTATCTGATCATAGGTTGATAGGTTCATATAATTGCAGGGCTGAAAAAACTAAAGCTCAGTTTGTTTCAACACATGAGATGTGCATAATACTCATGAATAGAAAAGAACAGTGGAAGGAGAGGAGAGGAAAGATACATTTGGGATTGCAAACATTCGATAGTAGCAACCTTTTTTATATATTAAAAAAAAACCCTTGGCCAGGTGTAGTGACTCATACCTGTAATGCCAGCACTTTGGGAGGCCAAGGAGGGAGAATCACTTGAGGCCAGAAGTCTGAGACCAGCCTGGACAATATAGTGAGACCCCATCTCTATAAAAAATAGAAAAATTAGCTGGGCATGATGGTGTGCACCTGTAGTCCCAGCTACTTGGTAGGCTAAGATGGGAGAATCACTTGAGCTGGGACTTTGAGGTCACAGTGAGCTATGGTGACTATGATAATGCCACTGCACTCCAGCTTGGGCAACAGAGTGAGCCCTACCTCTAAAAACAAAAACAAAAAAACCTTGATAAAATTCAGCAACAAAAAGACACGTCAATTTTCAAATGAGCAAAGGACTCGAATAGATATTTCTCTGAAGGAGAAACAGAAATGGCCAACAAGCTCATGAAAAGATGCTCAATGTCATTAGTCAGAGGGAAATGCAAGCCAAGACTGCAACGAGCTATCACTTCACATCCACTAGCATAGTCAGGCAAAAACACAACAACAGCTGAAAATAGTGAGTGTTGGTGAAAATATGAAGAATTGGAACCTTCATGTGTTGCCGGTAAAAAGGTAAAATGGTGTTGCCGGTAAAAAGGTAAAATGGTGTCGCCGCTATGGAAGAGTTTGGTGGTTCGTTGGTAAGTTAAACAGAGTTATCAATTAGACCCAGCAATTGTACTCGTAGCTGCATCCATACAAATAATGAAAATGGTGTTCTACCAAAAACTGGTGTATAAACTGGGTCCCTACCAACTGCCTTGGCTAAGCACAGTTCTTCTGTGGCTAAGAATTCTTACAGTGTCCCCTTGAAAATAGCTTCCTACTGACTTCTTTTTAACTGAAAATCCACATGAGTTCTTTCTTCTGTGTCTGTCTTCTTTTTATTCTTGTGACTTACAAAAAAAAAAAGACAAAAACAGCTAATACTCATCAGCATAACCAGCCTCCTTTCCTTCTTGCCCTGGAAACTTCTTAGGGGATTTTGTTTCCCACCATCCAAACTCCATTCTTTAGTTTGCTTCCTCCAATCCTCCACATTATTAATATAATCCCTTGTTGTAGCTAATGGTCATTCACCAGACCTTTGAATAAGCCGGGGAAAAGGTTAGGGCAGTTATTTATTGGTTTCCCATAGTCCGACACCAAATCCTCATCCCATTTGCCTCATAGATCTTCCTTCTCTTCCAAGGCTTGGCACCGCCCATCACAGGAGAGCATGCCAAGCTCCCGAAACCATGCCACCTTTGTGCATCCAGCTACCTGAGTAACTCAGGTCTTATGGATGGACCTCTGTTTAATCTGTCTTCAGTAGCTGTGACCACGCTGCTTGCTTCCCAAGATGCATTCATCACTCACACAAATACAACTCAGTGATGGTCACAAATAGCTTGAGGTTAAAAGGACACTTTTGTCCATTGTGCTTACCAAGAGCTAAACGAAGCATCAACCCAGGCAGTATTGGCTAGGGACTGGAGCCCATGCTCACAGTCTACATTCCCAGAAAGTGCTGTTTCCTCTACACACACTCACTAACACAGCTATTTGGGCTGGCGGAGTCCGTGTCCTCCTGCGGCTTTTTGGAGTCCGTGCCCTCCTGCATCTTGGAGTCTGTGCCCTCCTGTGGCTTGGAGTCCGTGCCCTCCTGCAGCTTGGAGTCCATGCTCTCCTGCGGCTTGGAGTCCGTGCCCTCCTGCGGCTTGGAGTCCGTGCCCTCCTTGGAGTCCTGTGCCCTCCTGCAGCTTGGAGTCCATGCCCTCCTGCAGCCTTTTGGAGTCCATGCCCTCCTGCGGCTTGGAGTCCATGCCCTCCTGCATCTTGGAGTCCGTGCCCTCCTGCGGCTTGGAGTCCGTGCCCTCCTGCGGCTTGGAGTCCGTGCCCTCCTGCGGCTTGGAGTCCGTGCCCTCCTGCATCTTGGAGTCCTGTGCCCTCCTGCAGCTTGGAGTCCATGCCCTCCTGCAGCTTGAAGTCCATGCTCTCCTGCGGCTTGGAGTCTGGTGCCCTCCTGCAGCTTTTTGGAGTCCATGCCCTCCTGCAGCTTGGAGTCCTGTGCCCTCCTGCAGCTTGGAGTCCTGTGCCCTCCTGCAGCTTTTTGGAGTCCGTGCCCTCCTGCAGCTTGGAGTCCTGTGCCCTCCTGCAGCTTTTTGGAGTCCATGCCCTCCTGCAGCTTGGAGTCTGGTGCCCTCTTGCAGCTTTTTGGAGTCCATGCCCTCCTGCGGCTTGGAGTCCATGCCCTCCTGCTGCTTGGAGTCCTGTGCCCTCCTGCAGCTTTTTGGAGTCCATGCCCTCCTGCGGCTTGGAGTCCATGCCCTCCTGCAGCTTGGAGTCTGGTGCCCTCCTGCAGCTTTTTGGAGTCCATGCCCTCCTGCGGCTTGGAGTCCGTGCCCTCCTGCAGCTTGGAATACTGTGCCCTCCTGCAGCTTGGAGTCCTGTGCCCTCCTGCAGCTTGGAGTCCATGCCCTCCTGCAGCCTTTTGGAGTCCATGCCCTCCTGCGGCTTGGAGTCCATGCCCTCCTGCAGCTTGGAGTCCTGTGCCCTCCTGCATCTTGGAGTCCCGTGCCCTCCTGCATCTTGGAGTCCCGTGCCCTCCTGTGGCTTGGAGTCCGTGCCCTCCTGCAGATTGGAGTCCGTGCCCTCCTTCGGCTTGGATCCTCAACTTTCTCCCCTTAATTTGTCCACAATGAAATGGAAATAATAACTGGCACCTTGCAGCACCTTGGGCAGGCAGGTGGGAGGTGATGACTAGGATTGTCTAAGGGAGATTTCAGAGCTCAGAGGACGGGGACGGTCGCAGCTAAAAGAGAAGGGATCTGGGAAGCAGATGGAAGTGAGAGAACAGATTCTCTGGAAGGCTTTTCTGGCGCCCTAAAGGCTTGAGAGGACTGACCAGATGCTTCAGCCCAGCACAGACAGAAGCATTCAGATCTAGCAGAGCCAGTTAGTCAGACCCCTCCAAAGGAGCCCCTCTGTGTAGTGGGGCTGCTCACTGTCCCCTGCAGCCGGGTGGGTTCCTGCCCCTGTGGTCCCCAGAGGCACTGCTAGTGTTACTCGTCTTGCTCCAGAGAATTATTTCGGTTTCTCGAGAAAAAGGCAGACTCTGCATTAATTAACTCAGTCTCTTTTCATGAAGACACACTCACTTTTATTTTATTTATTTTTTTCTTATTTCTCAGGGAGATTCCTTGGGTGAAGGAAGGTCATTTCTTGGGACCTGAGAGACAAGATCCAGCCAGGTCAAAGAGGGCCATGCCTGTGGGGTTGTGGTGACCACCACACTTGAGGAGCGGAAGAAGAGTTAGGTGTAGCCATCATTTACGTCACAGGGGAAGGCAAATAGGGATGGCGTGGGCCTGCCAACCCCATCCCCCCAGCAGACTGCCTGGTGACAGGGAGACTCTGGGCCCTGGCCCAGTGAAGGGATCAAAGCCCACGGGAGGTGCCGTGGGCGGGAAGGACACTGTGTGTGGCAGGTGGGCGAGCAGAGCAGAACGCGGCAGGGCAGCCAGGTGTGTGATCCCGGCCCCGGGGTGGCTGCAGGGCCTCGTCCCACTGGGGCACAGCCAGTGTCCATAAAGCCTCTGGTTGCTTAGGGTCTCACACTGAACAGCTTCTGTGCAGAGAACAACACAGTGTAACTAATGGAATTGCTGGCTCAGAACCGACCTTGAGAAGACCTTATATTCATTCTCTTGTCTCCAGGCAGAACTGCAAAACGTTGCCACAAAATGGTAGAAAAAAATCATTATTATTT